AAAATGGTTGTATACTCACTCACCCCCATGTTAAAAAGGCCAATCAATGACACCTGCCAAAGCTGGGCAGGTAGACTGCATTCTGATTGGATGGCCAGTACAACACAAAAACTTTTTACATCTAAACAATCCTATTGTAAGGATGAATACTTACAAATATGAAATTTAACTTCTAGAATTTGAGAAAAAATTATAAATATGGTACACAAATTGTAAGAAAACATGAGATTATAAATAAGGAGCTAAATCTAATTCTCCAAATTACAACTACATATGACTACATTGTCTGATTACTGGAGAGAGAAAATGATACCAAGAGGACTGAGAATTAAAAAATTTCCATCATTTGGAGCAGAAGATTCAGACTTCAAAGGGAAATGGGAGGCCATACTCAATAAATGCTCCCTAGATCTCATGCTTCTCCTAATACAAGAGGCAAAAAAACAGAAAACTCAAATTCAAAATGAAATTGCCACTTTGAAAGAAGAAATCTCTACTAATTTCAAAACACAACAAATCCCTTTTGAAAAAGAACTGCAAATGGATTTAGAAAAATTACAAAGGGAAGTTAAACAAGAAAAGCTGAGGAAATTCAATAGAGACGTATCAGACTACAAAGAAAATAAAGTTTACATGTGGAAACAAAGACAAAGCTTTCAAACTCAGTCACAACGAAGAAGAACTGTTTCCTTCCAACTGCCTAGCAGTGATGAGGATCACCCGGAGACATTAGAATCCTCACCATCTACTTTTTTAGGCACCAGATCCCAAAGAAACAAGCAGAGACAAAAAAACGTAAGACAAGAAGAGGGAGAAGCAAGTCATCAAGGATTCACAAGTTACAGTCGACATACCAGAAGCAGAGACAAGATGAAGATCAACAAGTAATTAACATTTCAGGGGTTCCTCTTTCAACCTGTCAGATCTCTGTTTTATCAAAAGGTCTCACGTTTGCTCCTAAGAACACGGCTAAAGAATTCCAGACCAAAATAGATTTGTTCAAGTTTCACCGTAATCTTCAGCTGAAAGTCTGGTACCATACGAATCCAAGTCAAGCAGCTTCTCGAGACCATATACAGCAAGATGGTGGGAGAACCCCATTCAGACCCAAGTCCACCTTTATACCCAACATATGTAATCAGACTCTGAATGTCTTCTACAAAAAAGTTACACAAGAAGTTGATCAACTCTTTGCATCTAAAAATAAAACGAAGCATAATCTCACAAACAAAGAAAGAGATGCAATTAAGAGGTTATCAGCTAATGAAGACATTATCATCAAGAGAGCTGATAAAGGAGGAGCGGTAGTTGTGTGGGGCAGAGACCAATATGTCACAGAAGCTAAGAGACAGTTGGATAACAGTGAATACTATGAACACATTCAAATGAATCCAACAGAGCAAATAAAGACTGAACTTAAGGAGATGCTTTTACACGCTAAAAATGAACAATGGATCTCACAAAAAGAACATGACTTTCTACTGAATGAGCACCCAAGAATTCCTTCCTTCTACATGCTCCCTAAAATCCATAAGAACTTGGAGAATCCACCAGGCAGACCAATAATTAGTGGCAATGAATCAATCACAGAACCAGCCTCACAGTTTGTAGATTTTTTCATTAAAACATTTGTTTCTGAACTGCCTTCTTTTGTTCAAGACACTACTCAAGTACTGAACAAACTGAATGATATAAGGAACATAGGACCTGGACTTCTTGTTACTATGGATGTGGAGGCGCTATACACTAACATTGACCACACAGAAGGACTAGAAGCACTAACCTATTACCTGGACCAAAGACATTCAGAAGATATGCCTCCTTCTTCTTTCATCCTTCAGCTGGCGAAGTGGACTCTATGTAACAATGTGTTTCTGTTTCAGAACCAATTTTTTAGACAGAAAAAAGGTACAGCAATGGGAGCATGCTTTGCACCCAATTACTCTAATCTTTTTATGGGACTTTGGGAAGAAACATATGTATACTCTGATCGTAATGTCTATGCTGATAAGATGATGTGGTGGGGAAGATACATTGACGACATTATTCTGCTGTGGTCTGGTTCAGAATCAGAACTACTTCAATTCCATTCATATCTTAACAAAACTAACAAAAGTTTGAAACTCAGCCTAGACTTCTCCTCATCAGAAATTAATTTCCTAGATATAAAAATCTCAAAATCTGATAATGGAGATTTACACACTTCTATTTTTAGAAAACCTACTGACCATAATACAATCCTCAGAGCAGACAGTTTCCATCCATCATGGTTAATAAACAACATTCCCACTGGTCAGTTTCAAAGACTTAGACGTATTTGTGACACAGAAGAAGAATTTGAAAGAAATGCTACAGTTATGGGCCAGAGCTTTACAACAAGAGGATACCAGCAAAGAACGATACTAAAAGCGTATAATAAGACTAAAAGCCTGCCAAGAGAACAGCTATTGGTACCTAAAGAGAAGAACCAACAAAGATCAGATGGTGTTTATTTTGTGACCCAATTCAGTGATCAAGCCCACAAGATCAAAAAAATTATTACAAAAAACTGGGACATACTGAAAAGTGACAGTGTTCTTAGGGAAGCTCTCCCAGATACTCCTACTATCAGCTTCAGACGAGCCCCAACATTAAATGATCAACTTGTTCAAAGTCACCTTCCTCCACAGCAACAAAAAACCTGGTTATCAACTCGAAAAGGCAACTATAAATGTGGAAATTGTGTTCACTGTGACAACATGACTAACACTAACTGTTTTGCTGATGTTTTCACAGGACGTACTTTTTACATTAATACATTCATCAACTGTAATACTTCGTTCGTGGTCTACAGACTAGAATGCCCGTGTGGTTGCTTCTATATTGGAAGAACTAAACGCAAGTTAAAAGCAAGACTTGCAGAGCACAAACAAGCAATCAGATCTGGTAATCATCTATATCCTATGGCAGTGCATTATAAAGACACAAATCATGGAAGCTGTAACTCTCTTAAAATCACAGGGATTGAACATATAAAAAATTCAATTAGAGGAGGAGATAGGCTTAAAAAACTCTTGCAAAGAGAATCTTTTTGGATTTACACACTAAAAGCTACTAATTTCCCAGGTCTTAATGGAGAATTAGATTTAGCTCCTTATTTATAATCTCATGTTTTCTTACAATTTGTGTACCATATTTATAATTTTTTCTCAAATTCTAGAAGTTAAATTTCATATTTGTAAGTATTCATCCTTACAATAGGATTGTTTAGATGTAAAAAGTTTTTGTGTTGTACTGGCCATCCAATCAGAATGCAGTCTACCTGCCCAGCTTTGGCAGGTGTTATTGATTGGCCTTTTTAACATGGGGGTGAGTGAGTATACAACCATTTTGAGCCCTGATGAAGGCCCTGTGGGCTGAAACGCGTTGGCATTGATGTTTTTAACAATTTAAGCCATGTACTAATAAAGGCTTTTTATTTTTGTACCTCCTGAGTGCCTCAGATCTCCTTTTGCCAACATTTATGTGGATCCCTTGGCTGAAGAGCACCAGTGAGAGCACCAGATAAGATTTCTCACACCCCTGCAGCACGTCCAGCATTTTTTCTATTTACATTTCTAGATAGTTTGTGATTTATAAAGCGGAGATTACGTGAAGCTGTGCGTACTCCATCTTTTATAGGTCACAAACTGACTTGGCATAAGTAAAAAATTTTGCTGAGCTCAAGTACGGTTTTAGTAAGGATTCTACGCAATGTTTTATAAATGAGACCCCAAAGTTTAAAGATTTTTATTCACAGTGCTAAGAATTGTATATTAAGGAAGGTATATAGTTAAAATTCCTTTTTAACTATATACCTGACTCTGTCTGAATTAATACGAAGTGTGTTTATGGTCCCTGAACAAGTAAAAGTAATTATAATCTTCTAATTAAACATTCAAAGACCAATCAGATGGATATTTCACATTTATATGGAATCATCATATCTTCCATCCATCCACTTTCTGAACCCACTTGTCCATGTAGGGTGAATCATCACATCTCATCGGTCATAATTAATTTGCAGTCGTCACGCTATAAAGTGTGACTGCTACAATTTTACATTTCTTAATAAAAATCCCTTTTCGTCTTGACCTTTTTCTGTATGAATCTCTCCAGGTGTTGTGACTCTGACAGGGCCATATCAATAATCTAGCCTCCTGCGTGGCTGGGTGATGGTAAATAAAAAGTCTCTTGTTAACAAGCCAGTGGCCTTGCAGAATGCCATCTCTGGTTGGCTTAGTGGTCATAAGAGTGCAGGGTGATAATCTGATGGTCAATAAGAGGATTCAACACACAGCAACATTGTAATAAACACAGAGCTTCTTTTGAATTCCTCATGATTAAATAACTCCTACCATTGAGCTGAAAGTGTCCACGTGGGACAACTTCATAACTGGTTAGTAGTTTTAACTTTTGTTTACTTTTTTTAATTCTTAAGTAATTTGTGCATAAAGAACCCTCCCCCCACTACCAATTAGGGAGTAGGCTAATGCTTAAAGCTGTTATCTTTATGTTTCCACCAGCTCTCCTTTGAAGGAAATGTTTTATCACCTCAGAAAGTAAAACAATCACATTAAAACAAATAATTTTCTCTTAAGAGAATATGAAAGCAGCTAATTGTTTCCCAGGCATAAATGTCCAGTCTGATGGTGTGTGTTTGGGAACTCAAGATTCTTGTCTAACTTCTCTTTAGTTGAGAAATGGAAAAATTTAACGTTAATGTTTTAAAATAATCATTATTTTTAAATATCTGGAACATAAATACCTGAGAATACTTTGAGCCTAGACGGCCATTTATCTAAATATGCTTCACATCCAGCATCATGTCAGCCGGGCAGCTCAGCAGAGGATAATGGTATTTAGATGTAAGCGTGTGGATCCTCACTCAGCAACATTATCGGGGACATGAGGCATCCAGTCTTAGGTAGAGGCTACAGTAATGCTGGTGGGTGACCGCGCTCTGTCTGCCGACAGTCACAATGGGAACAGCCAAGAAGGTGGGGAACGCATGGAGCAGGAGGCAAAGTCTCTTCCCCAACTACAAAGTCACAGACGTGGACACCAATCGAAGACCTTCTGAGCTTGTTTACCCACTTGCCAAAGAAAGCTGTGTGAAGACATGGAACTCCATGCAGGAACTGAGCAGGGACATCTATGATATTTACTCTGAGTACGAAGAAGAAGAAGATGACGGAGGTCCATACAGCTTCATCAGGCAGATATCCCCCTCCAAGAAAAACTATGTGATTAACATCAATGTTGGTGGGAAGCCCTACCAGATAGCTTACAAGATGGCAGCAAAGTACCCCAAGACCAGAATCGGACGACTAGCCACCTACACAGACCACAACATGAAGCTAGACCTGTGTGATGACTACATAGTGACTAACAATGAGTACTTCTTTGACAGGGACCCGGATGTCTTCCACAGCATCTTCAACTTCTACAAGACAGGTGTGTTGTGTATCAAAGATGAGCTTTGTCCACGCAACTTCTTGGAGGAGATCAACTACTGGGGCGTCAGGATCAAGAACACAAACCGCTGTTGCCGCATCTCCTTTGAGGAACGGCAAGATGAGCTGAATGAGCAGCTGAAGATCCAGAGAGAGCTGGAGGCTGAGGTTGAGATCGAGGAAAACGAAGAGCTGTTCCATGACATGTTCATGGGCCAGACGCGTCGAGCTATCTGGAACTTGATGGAGAAACCTTTTTCTTCCGTCAAGGCCAAAGTGATGGCTGTTGCCTCCAGTCTTTTTGTTCTGATCTCCCTGGTGGCTATGACCCTCAACACGGTGAAGGAGATGCAGTACAAAACACACGCAGGTCAGCTGAGCGGCAAGACGTATTGTGAATACGTAGAGTCCATCTGCATCGCCTTCTTCACCATGGAGTACCTGTTGCGTCTGATGTCCACACCTGACCTCAGAGCCTTCAGCAGAAGTGTGCTCAACACCGTGGACCTGATTGCCATCCTGCCCCAGTACCTGCAGGCCATCCTGGAGTTCTTTGACAGTGAGCACAACTACATCAAGCACGAGGCTGACATGCAGGCAGTGGGGCAGGTGGGGAAGCTGGGACAAGTGCTGAGAATAATGAGACTGATGCGAATCTTTCGTATCCTGAAACTGGCGCGTCACTCCACAGGTCTGAGGGCATTTGGCTTCACCTTGCGCCAGTGCTACCAGCAGGTGGGCTGCCTGTTCCTCTTCATTGCTATGGGCATCTTCAGCTTCTCAGCCATGGTCTACACCGTAGAGCACGACATGCCACAGACAAACTTCACCAGCATTCCTCACGCCTGGTGGTGGGCTGCTGTAAGTTCACACTAACGGTGTTAAATCAGTAGGTGTGCTAATATCTGATTACATCACAGCCCAACATGATCCTGTCTGTTTAAGTGTGTAATATAATACAGTATTTGTACTTAGTTACCTAAATTATCTTCATAATAAGCCCCAAAAAGGATGTCTGAGCTCATGGTCATCTAACCATTGAATGACAGAAGCCATCTGTTTACCATAAATAAACCCATTATCAGATCACTGCCCTCGCTCTCAGAGCAGGTGGGAGAATCGTCCTCTAATCCCAGGGAAGGAAATGATAATCCTTCAAATGAAACTAATGGGTGTGCTGAGGGGAAACAGATGGTTTAGCTATGAAACGACAACAACGCGTGTTAGAATGGTGGTCATGTGCTGACTACCAGGGTCTGTTATGGTTTAACTTCATTTTTAGTGAGAAGGCTACACACGACTTTGTAAACAAACCTTTTCATATTCTAAAGATATAAGGTCAAAGGTCAGGATGCCGAGGTAGTGAAACCGACCCATGCATATAATCAATACATTCAATGCTCTGTGTACATGTGTGTGTGTGTGTGTGTGTGTGTGTGTGTGTGCGTGCGCTGTATTTTTTCTGCATCTTCGTGAGTTCCATAGTTTTTGATTTTGCAAAAGTATAAAAATCAACTCCTCCTTGAACCGTCACCTTATCGTGGTGGAGGAGTTTGAGTGTCCCTAATGATCCTAGGAGCTATGTTGTCTGGGGCACTTAGTGCCCCTGGTAGGGTCTCCCATGACAAATTGGTCTTAGGTGAAGGGTGAGACAAAGAACGGTTCGAAGGATCTTTCATGGCGGTTAAAACGAAGAGTCGGAGTACCCGGCCCGGAGGGTTACCGGGGTCCCACCCTGGAGCCAGGCCTGGGGTTGGGGCCCGTGAGCGAGCGCCTGGTGGCCGGGCTTTCGCCCATGGGGCCCGGCCGGGCCCAGCCCGAACCGGATACATGGGCTCGTCCAACTGTGGACCCACCACCCGCAGGAGGAACATGAAGGGTCCGGTGCAATGCGAATCGGGTGGCAGACCAAGGCGGGAGCCTTGGCGGTCCAATCCCCGGACAAGAAAACTAGTTTTTGGGACATGGAACGTCACCTCGCTGGCGGGGAAGGAGCCGGAGCTTGTGGCAGAGGTTGAGCGGTACCGGCTAGATATAGTCGGACTCACCTCGACACATTGCATTGGCTCTGGAACCCGAGACCTGGAGAGGGGTTGGACACTCTACTTTGCTGGAGTTGCTCCGGGTGAGAGGCGGAGGGCTGGGGTTGGCTTTTTGTTAGCCCCGAGACTCTCTGCCTGTGTGTTGGGGTTTACCCCGGGGGACAAGAGGGTAGCTTCCTTGCGCCTTCGGGTCGGGGAACGGGTCCTGACTGTTGTTTGTGCTTATGGGCCAAATATCAGTTCAGAGTACCCACCCTTTTTGGAGTCCCTGGGACGAGTGCTAGATAGTGCTCCATCAGGGGACTCCATTGTCCTGCTGGGGGACTTCAATGCTCACGTGGGCAATGACAGCTTGACCTGGAGGGGTGTGATTGGGAGGAACGGCCCACCTAATCTGAACTCGAGCGGTGTTTTGTTATTGGACTTCTGTGCAAGCCGCAGTTTGGCCATAACGAACACCATGTTCGAACATAAGGATGCCCACCGATACACTTGGTACCAGGGCAGCCTAGGTCACAGGTCAATGATGGATTTTGTAGTCGTATCATCTGACCTGCGGCCGTATGTTTTGGACACCCGAGTGAAGAGAGGGGCGGAGCTGTCAACTGATCACCACCTGGTGGTGAGTTGGATCAGATGGCAAGGGAACATGCCGCGTAGACCTGGCAGACCCAAACGCATAGTGAGGGTCTGCTGGGAACGCCTGGCAGAAGAACCTGTCAAGACGGTCTTCAACTCCCACCTCCGGCAGAGCTTTGACCACGTCCCGAGAGCAGTGGGGGACATTGAGTCCGAGTGGGCCTTGTTCCACTCTGCGATTGTCGAGGCGGCTGTTGCTAGCTGTGGTCGTAAGGTGGCCGGTGCCAGTCGTGGTGGCAACCCCCGTACCCGCTGGTGGACACCAGAGGTTCGGGGAGCCGTCAGGCTGAAGAAGGAGGCCTACAGGGCGTGGCTGGTCTGTGGGTCTCCGGAGGCAGCAGACAGGTACCGGATAGCCAAGCGGGGTGCAGCAGTGGCAGTTGCCGAGGCAAAATCTCGGGCGTGGGAGGAGTTTGGTGAGGCCATGGAGAAAGACTATCGATCGGCTCCAAAGAGGTTCTGGCAAACTGTCCGGCGCCTCAGGAGAGGAAGGCAGCAACTCGCTCACACTGTTTACAGTGGGGATGGGGAGCTGCTGACGTCAGCTGAGGCTATAGTCGGACAGTGGAAGGAATACTTTGAGGAGCTCCTCAATCCCACCAATGCGCATTCCGAGGAGGAACCAGAGCTGGGAGGCCTGGGGATGGACTGTCCGATCTCGGGGGCAGAAGTTGCTGAGGTAGTCAAACAACTACACAGCGGCGGAGCCCCGGGGGCGGATGAGGTTCGTCCTGGGTATCTCAAGGCTATGGATGTTGTAGGGCTGTCATGGTTGACACGTCTCTACAACATTGCGTGGTCATCGGGGGCAGTTCCTAGGGAGTGGCAGACCGGGGTGGTGGTCCCCATCTTTAAGAAGGGTGACCTGAGGGTGTGTTCCAACTATAGGGGGATCACACTCCTCAGCCTCCCTGGAAAGGTCTACGCCAAGGTACTGGAGAGGAGGGTCCGATCGATAGTTGAATCTCAGATAGAGGAGGAGCAATGTGGTTTTCGTCCTGGCCGTGGAACTGTGGACCAGCTCAATACCCTTGCAAGGGTGATGGAGGGGGCATGGGAGTTTGCCCAACCAATCCACATGTGCTTTGTGGATTTGGAGAAGGCTTATGACCGTGTCCCCAGGGGCACCCTGTGGGGGACGCTCCAGGAGTATGGGGTGGGTGGCTTTCTGTTAAGGGCCATTCAGTCCCTTTACCAGAGGAGCGTGAGTTTGGTCCGCATAGCCGGTAGTAAGTCGGACCTGTTCCCAGTGAGGGTTGGACTCCGCCAGGGCTGCCCTTTGTCACCGGTTCTGTTCATCACTTTTATGGACAGAATTTCTAGACGCAGCCGTGGTGTGGAGTGTGTCGAGTTTGGTGGCAGGAGAATCTCGTCTCTGCTTTTTGCGGATGATGTGGTCCTCCTAGCTTCATCCAGCTCTGACCTTCAGCTCTTGCTGGGTAGGTTCGCGGCCGAATGTGAAGCGGCTGGGATGAGGATCAACACCTCCAAATCTGAGACCATGGTTCTCGACCGCAAAAGGGTGGCTTGCCACCTCCGGGTCGGGGGAGAGGTCCTACCTCAAGTGGAGGAGTTTAAGTATCTCGGGGTCTTGTTCACGAGTGAGGGTAGGAGGGATCGGGAGATCAACAGGCGGATTGGTTCGGCGTCTGCAGTGATGCGGACGCTGAGCCGATCTGTCGTGGGGAAGAGGGAGCTGAGCCAGAAAGCCAGGCTCTCGATTTACCGGTCGATCTACGTCCCAATCCTCACCTATGGTCATGAGCTTTGGGTAATGACCGAAAGAACGAGATCGCGGATACAAGCGGCCGAAATGAGTTTCCTCCGTAGGGTGGCCGGGCTCAGCCTTAGAGATAGGGTGAGGAGCTCGGACATTCGGGAGGGACTCGGAGTAGAACCGCTGCTCCTCCGGATCGAAAGGAGCCAGTTGAGGTGGTTTGGGCATCTGGTCAGGATGCCTCCTGGACGCCTCCCCGGGGAGGTGTTTCGGGCATGTCCTGCCCGCAGAAGGCCCCCGGGTCGACCCAGGACACGTTGGAGAGGTTACATCTCCAATCTGGTCCGGGAACGCCTTGGGGTCCTGCCGGAGGAGCTGGTGGACAAGGCCGGGGAGAGGACGGCCTGGAGCTCCCTAATTGGGATGCTGCCCCCGTGACCCGGACCCGGATAAGCGGAGGAAGACGAAGACGAAGACGAAGATAAAAATCAAATGGATAAACACAAATGTAAATGGCCACTAAGATGTAAGGGTAAAAAAAAAACATTTCAAAATAAGAAAGCCTACCTGAAAATTATTTAGCACCTTTTCCTGCTTAACTTAATAAAAAATGCCTTTGTGGTGATGGACACGGTTTTCTCTTGAAATTAAATGTAAGTAAGCTCCAAAAGTGCTAAATGTCCTTTTTGCAGGAGAAAAGGAGACATCTCAACAGCAGGATTTAGGTGATTTTTGGGTTTACATGTCCTATTAAAAAAAAGGACATGTCTGGTGAGGAGGAGAGTTGAATCCATTCAGGATGAAATGCTTCTTAAACTAATGTTGCAGGATTAGTGCAGGAGGTGACATTTTTATCTAGAAATTAAATAATAGAAAACAAGTCTCATAGTAGAAAAAAGTCTTCGCTTAAACAGTAGCTGGTGTATTTTTGTCATTAAATATTTTCATTAACAGTTTATTCACTTTAGGAAATAAAATGTTGATTTACCAAGTTATGTCAGCTGGTTCCTTTAAATGCAAAGAGAAGTAAACATTTACTTGTATCATGACAACAAACAACTACGTAAATCACTCTTTGCATGTTACCAACTGGGTTTACTGGAACCCGTTGATAAAAGCTGGTAAATTCAACACGTCTTTTCTTATCATGTGCAGCTTTCATCCAGAATGAAGTCCTGGTTTCTGGTAAAGCCAGAGTCTGTCTGCAGTTTCCTGCTCTGACTTGTTTCTCAGATCCACACTAACAGATCTCCTCTCTCCTCCCTGCAGGTGAGCATCTCCACAGTGGGCTACGGGGACGTTTACCCAGAAACTGTTCTGGGTCGTATGTTTGCCTTCGTTTGCATTGCTTTTGGAATAATCCTCAACGGATTGCCCATTTCCATCCTCTTCAACAAGTTCTCAGACTATTACTCTAAACTCAAGTCCAACCAGTACACAGCCTGCTTGAAGAAACGAGGGAAGGTCAGATTTGCAAAGAGGACAGCTAAAAAGCTTGAAGATTTGTTCAGAAACCAGTGATTTTTTTTAAATAAAGGTCTTGTGCAGAAAATAAATGTGACTGGGACAAATGAGCAAAATAATTGGTATAATATATTATTAGTAGGCTGTATCTGTGATTAAAGCACAGGAAAGTGAGTGATCAGGTGGATGAGTAGTTTCTAAACACATTTGTACTTAGTATAATTTATTACTTGTCAAACATTAACAATAAATAAACCTTGTTGATAAATCTGACAGCAATCATATGTGTACATGTACGCGTTTGTATGTGTGTGATGTTATGCATGTATACCATATAGCACTTAGGTTACTATATAGATAAGACCAGTTTAGTGAGTGAAGATTTTAACACAAACAAGCAAACAAAAAATAATGATGAAGTGTTTCTGTTTGCATTTTTATAAATGTAGTTGCCTCTGCTGGGTTCAGCACTCCACACAACCATTGTGTTTAACAGTGTTACATATTTTAGTTGTTTTTAGCTAAAGAATAAAAAGAAAAGACAGTTACAACGGGTTCCGCTGTTGCTAATGCCAAAACATTGCAGTCTTTTATTTAAAAAAAAAACAATAATAATAATAATTATTATGTATATAAATATATATATATATATATATATATATATATATATATATATATATATATATATATATATATATTTATATATAATGCCCGTGTTTCTTAGTGTATGAAGATCCCTCTCAGTAAAAACACCTCCTGTAATTGTTGTCAGAAATAAAAAGCATGGTGGCATTGGCAGTATGAGACCTCACTCTGACAATTCTTTTCTCTCATTAATTCTCTAACAACATAATAAAAACTACTTACATACCAGTGGTAAACACAATGGTTGTGTGGAGTCAAAGTACTGAGCTCTGCAGCTGCTTTGTTCGGGTTCACACCTTCACTTTGTTTATACTCATGATTTTATTTTCTATTTTATCACTGCTATTGTTTTTCTGATGTTTTTATTGGTTAGAGGTATTTGCCCTGATCTTTATCATGTTGTACAGCGCTTTGCGATTTATATCTGTGAAAGGCGCTATATAAATAAACTTTTACTTACTTACTTACTGCTAAAAACTTCTGAATGCAATTGGCTTTATTTGGATCATTAGGAGAGTTGGTGCCCTCCTGTGGCGACAGTAGGAACTGCATGCTGAGTCAGAATATTTTAGCCTCCTTAGCCTCCTTCCTTCAACGAAGCTGGATTAAAAATATCTAATCCTTGTTTTCGTCACCTTTGGAAAATTAAAAAGGAGGAGGAGGAATATGAGGAGAAGAGGGAACCACATTTATAACGTTACAATCGGTACTTTGTAGAAACACTTCTCTTAAATTCTTTCAAATTAAAATCCATTATGACACTGCAATAAGAAATCTCACTCAAAAAAAAAATATTTTTTTTCTAATTTTTCCTATAACGCAATTGTATTCATATAACAATGTTGAACACAATGATTTTGTGGATTCAAGTGCTAAACCCAGCAAGCTACTGCGCTACAAACTCAGTTTTTATTTACTTAAATGGAAGAAGAACGGGAAAGAAGCTTGACTTACATTCAGCTTTTGGTAAACCATTTACTTCAGAACATTGTTGACTCAATATATCAATGAAATTGAAATAAAATCTAATCGTTATCCTTGTCTTCTCTTGTGAATATTTCTATGAAGAAGAAGAAGGAGCTTCATGTAAGGGGATGCCCATCTACTTCTGGACTGTGGGTCCCCTACTGCAAAAAAAAAAAAAAAAATGAATGAGAGTCTATATTGGACAATAAAAGTTGTTTTCTGATCGTGTTTGATATGTGCCATGGATTTAACATATGATGTCCGTGAAATTTATAGACGCATTTTGATGCCAAAACAGCGCTTATTTTCTACAGGCGGCAAAAGTTAGTTTGATGACATAAACTGTGAGAGATGAGCAGTTGGAGTCCACGAAGTCTTTTCACACAAAACCTAAAATAACTTACTTTAGTCTAACATGGAGAAAAAACAGTGACATTAAGGCAGATGTTATTTAAAACCATATAAATATAATACATTGCATACAATTTTAAATCTTCATTTAACTGATTGTACAAGCTAAGTTAATTAAATCAACTGTTACTCAGTTTTTCAAAAGCCTTTTTACCAATTGTTTTTTAATTTAATTTAAGTACTTTATAAATTTACTGTAAAGTCCAAATACATTTATGCTTTTCTAGTTCTGGAAAATTTTGTAACTATTTAATATTTCCAATTAATAACTAATATACAGTGTAGTTCCATTTGTGTCCAGGTGGTGACAGCAAAGCACCGAGGAGAGTTTGATCGGTGGTTAAAATCTTCCGAGAAGAAGCCAACTGTCTTCTCTCAGCGGTGCTAAAGTGACCTCTGCTGCTAACTACTGGCCTGCTGTAAAATTATGGCTCCTCCTGTTGCTGTATCGCCTTTGATTAAGGTTTGTGCTCATGAATGTAATTTAAAAACTGTTTTCTTTTTGTATTTTATCGCAAAATAACTCAAATCGTTTGTTACCGCAGTTCATTAAAGAGCACACCAACTTGCTAACGATTAGCAAGGCACTCACGGATCCACAGCCGGTTTGAAATTAACAGCGTTCCCTTTTGTTTTTAACTAATCGGACTAAACGATTTCTCATATGTGAAGACAAAATGGTCCAATTCTATAACGTAAGTGTAATGTTCAACGAGTGACCGAGCGCCACCCTTAAAAAAACCCCAGTCAAATTAAAGCAACCGACTCTCCTCATGTCTTAAATACTGCTGTTATAGTTTTGAATTACGGGACTTTATTATTTGTTTTGTTCGTCTAAATTAATTTGCCTTTTCAAAATGATTTCCTGCTATAATTCAGTTAGTTTAAAAATCCATCTGCGGATGTGCGTTGGCGCCCCCTGCTGTTTATACAGAAGATAGAAAACAACATTTAGTAATTGCATTCAGACATGTATGCTACGTATACGTTTGTTATGTGTATTGTTTCATTACTGTCATTCATTTGTGTCCCTTTTTTTAACACAGACAGCCAGATATTCAGCATTAATTGCTGGGATCATTTACGGTAAAAAGAGATATGGTGAGTTATTTACACATCTGTCAAATCACTTCCTTTCTTGGTGCTCGTTGCTAAAATTAACCCAATGTTATCCATTTAAATATTTTAAAACAACTGTCTTACGTTTGTCACAAACACTGAAGCAAAAAAGCACAACACCTTCTTAGAAAAACATCTCAGATTAAAAACTTTGTTCTAAGTCGCTGGCCAATGGTGTTAGAAAGAGTAAGACATAAGATATATTTTAGTAAGATATCATTATAGATATTAATATTCTTAAAGGACCTGTATCGTGCTGTTTTACACCTTCCAGAGCAAAGATAGGCACAATAATGATAAAATATTACAGCTTGCAGGATTGAGATGTCTAATTTCATTAAATGCAAGTTATCTTCGTGAGCCATTTCTTCAACCTGGAAATAAGACGCTTGGATTGAAGGAAACCCCACCTCCATCCATGTGAATTCCACAATAGTATATAGCTGCAGACCGCAGATTCACGCCACTCAGAAAAAACACAGATGAGATAGTAGCAGATTCTTGGCCTGTATCATTGTTCCAGTCGATCCCTGACGCTCACCGACTAAACATAACTGTTCAGCTAGCATTTTAGTTGTACCTGCCTATCACATAAGTGGTCTTAATGCTGGAATGGCTCCGGTGTAACGAAGTAATCTATCTGAAAACCCATTCTGATACTGGTGGTGGTTTTACTCATTCATGCTCAGTTTTTGAGAGCTCCTGAAGATCAAATGCAGATTCAATTCTTCAGGGAGACTGGACAGGGATCCTTTAATTTTCAGACAAAAAATCACTTTTGGGGGTTCTAGGCATTATTTAAAGTGAAGTCTAGCTACTACACTAAGAGACGTTGGTGTTTACAGTCCAGAGGATGAGGAGTCTGTATTCAAGACATCCTGGATGAGGAAGAGTTCAAGCAAAGGCCGTCCCATCCAGCCGGCAACAAAAGCTTAGCTCAGTTAGGCGCGGGTAAAGAAGAAGCGAGTTTTTCATGTGGAAATAACAATCTAACATTTCACAGAATCAAAATCATAAAAATCCCTCAATAAAATATTAATTTGGATATTCCTGTTAAAGGAATATGGACCCATATCCCTGAAAATATTCTAAACCCTTTACCGTATTTTTAGCTTGTATTTATTAGGGATGGGAGATAAACTCATGATTTAGATGCATCGAGATGCGAACATAAACGATTATCAATCGATTAAAAAAAAAGGAAAAAATAGTTTTTATTAATGACGAGGCACTAAAAGCGGAACTCAGCTAAAAGGAAGTCTGGTGCTTAGACGGAAAGGTTACAGTATGCACAGGACAACATGGCTGACTGAAGAATACGGCCAGCACTGCCAACATTAAAAGCAAGTGTGTGGAATTACTTTGGTTTTTATGAGTGAGGGGAAAAGGGACCTGGACAAAAGCCATACGGTATCCAAGTTGTGTAAAACAAAACTGAAATATTTTGGAAACACACCAAACATGAGAAACCACGTTAATCGTTTTCACCCGGAGGAGAAAGACGCCGGTAGCTGCGGCTGCCACCACCAACCAGAAAACCATTGAGCAGGCGTTGTTAAAATTTCCACTAAACTCGGAAAAGGCGAACAGAATTACAAAGCCCATTGTAAGTTTTATCGCAAAAGATTTGCGTCCGTTCGCAATTTTTTCCCTTTTTATTCATTTATTTATACATTTAATTGAAGTTCTTGTTAAGGGTATTTATACTCAAAATGTTGTGTAATCGTTTTTTTTTTTAAACAACAGTTGTTCATGTTAAAATCAATTGGACATTCAGCATTATTTAGTTTGGAAGCTGTTAATGACAGCACTTCTCTTTAAAACATCGCACTGATACTTCTGTAGTATTTATCTGTATCTGGGATGAGGGGAAGCTGTAAGTAATGGTCTGTGGACAGGAAGGTGATTCAGTGGGATGACTCCTGACTTACATCACAGGGAAAGTTGCTCACATGTTATTTTTCTAGTGAAGATGGATGGTTTGTACAGCTTGTTGGGAACGGGGCAGAGTTTCAGAGCCTAAAGCTGCAAGTCACAGTCGCATGTTTGAGTTTGGTCGGCTTTTTCCTTGTTGGCATGAAACTAATTATTGAGGTGAGGCTTAATTCTCAGCGTCGGTGTTGATGAACTGCAGCACAAACTTGTCCAAACTCACCCGTTTCTATGGTAAGCTGCAGCAGCAGGGGGAGGGGCTGCTGGGGTTGTGACATAAGTCCCAGAATGCATTGCATCTGGCAACACTAAGCAATAAAGCATAATAAATAGGATCTCACTCACAGACCAGATGGGGGATGAGGTTGACTCATATTGCAGACACATGCTAATTTAAATTGCCATCTAGAATAAAGATGGTTTTATGCAGGAGTACATTTTAAATAAAACTTTGAATTTTCTCAGAGCACCTGAAGCCCATTGCTGCTGAAGAACGGAGGGTAGAGGAGGAGGAGAAAAAGGTCCGTGAGGAGCAGGAGCGCATTGCTAAGCAGATAGCAGAAGGTGCGTTTTCCCACACCAGACATCAGTGTTCAAAACTACCGCCCAAAAGCTACTGTGACATCACATTCTTGTCTTATTTGCAGCAAATGAAGACACCATTTTGAAGTAAAGCTCTGGAAAACTGGACGTTTTCATCCATCTGCCTCTTCCTCCTTTTTCTGGTAGTAACAACGATGGAGTCGGTCAGGGACTTCCTGCACAAACATCCCTCTGGATAGCTACATGATGTCATTTTGTTTGTCTTTTACACATCTCTGTGCGGCTTCCCAATCACAGCTGCACTCTTAATTTGATGTTTGTGATAAATATAAAATATATTGCTCTGGTACCTGTCCCAAGTCAACACATAACATCCACCCACCACGGCATTTAGGCTCATGAAGCTTTTAGATCATTTTGCCTGCACCTCTCAGGATCTGTTTCTGCCTACAAAGGTTTTATGAATGATTTGTTCCTAAATTGTAGAGTTTAAAATAAAAACATGACAATGCTTATTGTGTTAACTTTTTATATTTAAAGGTAAATCATTCAAACTAGAAAGCTGCTAGTTGTGGATTTATGTGGGAGAAACATTTAAAAACTGTTTCCCTGTGTGAACTAAATCACTCAGCATCTGTTCTGCACTGGGTGTGAAACAGGCTTCAGCATCTTCACATTAAGATTTCCTGTTTTTCTTTACATCCTTGAATGAAGGCATGATGTTAGAGAATCATCAAGCCTTCATTTTCTCATTTCTGGCACCAAGCCTGAAGCGCTGACTATCACACCTTTAGACTAAAGAAGTACTTCATCTTTGTTTGAAAAATAAGCAGCTTCCTTAAATCTCTGATCCACACAGAGACTGTAAAATGGATCACATACCCATTAGTGTTCCACTGATTTCTGTATCCCGGTCAAATGGCGCTCAGTGTTCACAATGTCTGCATGCGACTGGACAATACCCAACCAGTAACTAGTAGTTCACGATAAGCTGACTGGTGAGTATGAAAGGGGTTGTACCACCTAACTCCCAACACTCTGACAACACTCAGACCGAGCGCTACTCCGTTTTCGTAAACCTCTCAGGTAGTGAGTACGGTCCGGGTCGTCCCCAGTAGTCCACAGCTCGAACTCTGTACAGACCGCCGACCTCCTGATCCACTGCAGGACACAGCACAACCGTATTAGCACTGTGACCGTTTATCAAGACAGATTAAGAAGAGTGATGGACCCTTACCTGGTGAATAAACATACGAGGTAAAAATGGTGTCCTTAACATTAATTCTCCTGAATTTCTGTTTGTCCGTGGAGAACTCGACTTCAAAAGTCTTGATGCATCTGCCAGTAATAATAATAGTATCACTTGACCTTTCAATAGACAACGTGCAGTTAAACTAGAAACGAAATCCAAGTCCTGAAATGGAATCACGATAAATGTGAACTAACTTGGAATCAACACAGTGATCGGACCAGAGGATGAGCACCTGTCCGTCTGTGATCCCGGTGAAACGAACTCCATTAACCTAGTCAAAGAGAAAATAGCGACACACTATTAGCTCTAACAACAAAAACAGTGATGTGTTTATTCACTGTTACAGAAAGATCTGTGCTGAGTTAAACTAAGAGTGAACGTTTTATAATCATTACTGGCCTGGTCTGGTCCGGCTCTGGGTTGGGCACAGATGTGGACGAGGAGGATGGAAGGAACCGGAAGTTTGGCTTTTAGAGTCAAAGTGTCGCCAGCAGGAACTTTAAAGGGTCCATCAACACGAGGATCCTGGAACAAAAACAAACGAGTGGCTGAACTGATCAACCAAACCAGCTCTGGAGTTTTGTTACAAAACAAAGTTAAAAGGTTTGGTGTGTATGCTTCAGGCTTGAAAAGTCCCTTAAACTATGGATTATTTGCTTCTGTTGGCACATTCCTGCCACCAGCTAATTAATTCATCACACCTATTTAGTGTGAAAACATCATAAACCAAGCAAAGACTCGCTCCTGTTTTCTGAACTTCCACCATCCTCCCATCCACTGCTCATCCTAGCTGAGGTCATGGAGGAAACTGGTCCAGGAGAGACTCGGACATCTCCTTATTCAGTACAACAGATTGGAGCAAAGGCCTCCACTGAAGATGGAAACCAGATCCAGCTGTCGATCTGCTGCTCCCTTCTACCATCACACGAGAACAAGATGCTTTAACTCCACCTCTAGAGACCCGGGACTCACTCCCAATCTACAGGGAGCATTCCAACTTTTTCCCATTGAGAACCTTGGATCTGGAAGAACTGACTCATCCTTGATGTTTCACACTCTGTTGCAATCTGCCCCAGAGCACACTGAATGTCATGGTTTCAAATCACCATCAGAACCACATCTACAAAAAGCAGACATGAGACGATGCAGTTCCCAAACCAGACACCCAATTCCTTTGGGTCTGTTCGGAATCTTCCCCACCTGCTGGTGAGCCCCATGACATCATGACCCACCACCAGTTTACGACAACCTAGCAGCACCACTCCCTACAGATATATATATAATATTACCTCCACAGCTGGGATGAAAATCAGCTCCTCTAAATCCGAGACTATGGTCTTAAGTCAGAAAAGGGTAGAATGCCTTCTCCGGGTCAGGGATGAGGTCCTGCTTCAAGTGGAAGAGTTTAAGTATCTCTGGGTCTTGTTCACGAGTGAGGGAAAACTGGAGCGGGAGATTGATAGGTGGATTGGTGCTGCATCTGCAGTGATGCGGGCGTTGTACTGGTCTGTTGTAGTGATGAGCCGGAAGGCTCAGCTCTCGATTTACCGGTCAATCTACGTTCCACCCTCAACTTTGGTCACAAGCTTTGGGTAGTGATTGAAAGAACGAGATCACGGATACAAGCGGCCGAAATGAGTTATCTCCACAGGGTGTCTGGGCTCTCCCTTATAGGGTGAGAAGCTCAGTCATCTGGGAGGGGCTTAGAGTAGACCCACTGCTCCACTCCACATTGAGGAGCCAGTTGAGGTGGTTCGGGCATCTGGTTAGGATGCCTCCTGGACACCTCCCTGGTGAGGTTTTCCGGGCAAGTCCAACCGGGAGGAGACCTAAAGGATGATCCAGGACATGCTGGAGGGTCTCGGCTGGCCAGAGAACGCCTTGGGGTTCCCCTGGATGAGCTGGCCCAAGTGGCTGGGGGGAGGGATGTCTGTGCCTCTTTGCTTAGGCTGCTGGCTCCGCGACCCGACCGCGGATAAACAGAAGAGAATAGATGGATGGATGGATTACCTCCACATTCCTGATGTTTCTGAACTGCTCTGCTGTGGGATAGTCAGGACCGCCCATGTTCTGCCACAGCTGGTATGGGTTGGTTACATTATTGTCCATGTAATATGTCACATACACCAGACCTGGACAGCACACACAAACAAGGCTTTCATTTGATGATCAGAAGGAAGCTTGTTAAATTTGTTATTGTTTGAATCTGAAATCACATAAAACCTTTCTGCTCAGCGAGGCCCTTCAGTGAAACTGTAACCTCATCAGTGTGGTTAGAGGTGCTGTTGTCGTCACTGTTGTAGACCAGCACAGCTGTCTGCCAGCTGTCTGAGCCGCCCAGAACCGCAGGCCTGTGGCTGCTGGCAAGAACTCCCAGTGTGTCACTGTGTTCACCTCCTGAGGTCAGAACTTGAGCCAGAACCTGGGTATCACCTCAGATTGGGGTGGCACAGAAGAGCTATTTCAGTATTCACCCACACATGAAGTAAAACGATCTACCCTGAGGCTTAAGCATACACCTCAGGAGATTATATCACCTAGCAGAGCCAGCAGGCCCATGACGGTGAGGACTGGCTTCCTGATGAGCTGGACGTGGGGTGGATGAGTATTGTTGACCTGGAAGCGGGCTGTAAGTGTCCTCTGGGTGAAAGGATGAGGGTGGTAACTCAGGAAGGCGTTGTCGTTGCTTAGTAGGGTGTAGTTGATGGTGCTGTTTGGGTTACCCAGCAGCAGATCCTGGTGCTGCTTTATCACCTGATTGGATGGAGCAGGAGATGACTGGTAATGAGAAATCTGTCCCTCATCCACATAGAGAGGAAAATGATGAGATGAATTTTCTTCACTTAACCTTCACCACCATTGCAGCATAGGTGACATCAGCCCTCCAGACCTGAGGCTTGGACCACCCCACCAGAGGATCCGCCTCATCGTTGTAAACGGGGAGGCTGCGAAACCTGGGGAAACGCTCCTGGATCTCCCCTACTGTCTGGATCTCCTGCTGGAGAATGGGCAAGGAGTAGCCTCCTCCCTGAGGGTTCCAAAGAGAGGCCGTTCAGTTTTATGAGATTAAAGTTCATTTGCATATTCATTAAAACAGGTTTACAGAATTAGAGCTAATAATGAGCATCTCAGTCAAACGTGATCCCCCGAAAGGGCACCTTCTTGTGCAGGGCGATGTAGTCAATCCTGACCGTCGTCTCTCCAGTGAAGAAGTTGGTGCCGTTGTAGCAGTGCTGCAGCATTGCCCAACAGTACAGGGAGTGGGGAGGTGCATGACAAGAGTCCCCTGGACCTCCAAACCTCAGGAGTTCGCTGGCAGCCCGTAGACCCTCCGAACAGGCATCATAGTAGTTTAAAAACCCTAGGACAACAAAATGTGTCAAATTTACAACCTCATGGGATGAACAGTTCTGTTTGGGAGTTTAGTAAATTCACACAGTAACATATCAGAAAGGAAATAAAATCCCACTGAAAAGCACAACTTCCACCAACGATTAAGCAACAAGGTCTTTGGTATAAATGCTGTTTACCTTGAACTGACATGGTAACATTATCAAAGTTGTGGTTGTTTGGTTCGTTCCAAGTTTCAAAGTTCCAACGAGAAACGCTTCCCAGCCCGTATAAATCTGAAACAAAACATGCAACGTCTCTCTGATAACTAACTGGTGTCACACCAGCACGTCTTTAACAAACATCTTTTGGTTTTTCTAATCATTTTCAGATCAACAGCTCGTCCTGAGCTTTTAACACAATATGCAGAAAGACAGCACGACTTTACAGCTCTTTACTCACCGATGTATCTCTTTGCTATGAGATAAACCAGATTCCTCCATTCAACCACTTGTGACTTATTTTCAAAGTCAGTGAAGTAGTTTGATACGCTGCCCATCAACTCAAAACCTGCAAAGACAAACAGAACACAGAATCAAACCTGCTGCCCTTCATGCATATTTGTACACTCCTGGGTCAGCTCTTCAACAGCAATCCTACATACAGTCTAATAATCAACAGCAATGATGTAGCACCTGGTTGAAGTCCATTAACCCACAGGAGGTCCATCAGCTGATCCAGTTTAGTGAAGTTATACTGAGGTCTTCCTCCAATGTCTCTACAACAAAAGTCCCACTGCTGTGATTCAGTATTAATGGGATTATTTACTCTGAAAACCTTCTCGCGCGCGAATCCATGAGTATTGTGATTTTCTGTAGAGCTTTTCATTTACCACGTGACTTACTGTGCGGTGACCAGCTCCAACATCCAGTGTATCCTGACCTGCTGGATGCCTCCATGTGGGACCGAGCCCAAATAGGCCAGATTCAGCTGCTGGTCGATGCTCAAGTCAAACTGGTCAGACTGAGTGTGTGGAAGTGGGGGGCTTCACACAAAACAAAAAAAGTATTTACATTTTTGATGTGATTTTACATTCAAGGTGGTCTATAAATTGCTGCAAATGTAAATAAACACTACTTCCGGTTATGCTAACTGTTTTATTCAATTATCTCAGTTATCAACAATTTTAGCTAGGTCCAGGCACAACGGGCTAATCTGTGAATATCTTACTAACACTACTGAAGTTAATTTGGTAAAAATTTGAATTAAAACCTTATATTTTTGACAGTAAACAGCCGGGCTTGTTTCAATTGGACCCACCAGAACCCAGTGCTTCTCCAGAAGTGAATGAGATCCCTTTCTGGCCTTCCCACGTCCACTAGGATATCAAAAGATGATCCAGACGCTGCGGAGAAGCGCAGGAAAAACACAAGATAAAAACTTTTCTGCGCCATTGTGTTTGACTTGAACGCAATCCCTGTTTATCGCGAGAAATGACGGATTTATGAAAATTTGTTAGAAAACCACGCGTCATATTTAACGCTGGCATTTGTTTGACATCATACGTGAAGTAGTTGTCAACAATGTAAAGATAAATGGCAAAAAAATATACCGTATACCAGAAAGTCAAGCTAACGGTCACCTGACCAATGTTGATGACGTATAATAAGTGGGACATGGTTGTAGTTCTTATCAGTTTTTTTTTACGAAATGTTCTAAAATAAGAAAAAACATTGTTGCTTCTGTCGGTTTTCCAGTGGTTTTATTTTAGAATATTGGCAATACCATGTCAGTCTATTTAAATTTAAAATACCATCTACTCATAAAAAATGGCCTTATTGCAAATGAAATGGGCTGAGACCACCACCATTTTGGTGTGACTTGTTTAATACGGAAACAAACAATAATCCTGGATGCAAAACAACACATTTAAATGCTTTGATAAAAATAAAACACATTAAGAGCCATTATTGGGACATTTATTTAAAAAAAATGGGATAAACAAAGAGGCATGAAAGGCAAATTCATATGTCTTTACATTTTAACTCAGATACTGTCAAACAGCAACAGTTATACACAACCATTTACACAACCTGTACAAATAAGTTTTCCCCACAAAATTTCTCAATTTAATTCAAAATAACTTAAATAGGTTTTTAGGTAAAAGTGCAAATCCTTATGCATGAATGTCTGAGTAGGACCATGGTGACAGAAGAGGTGTCTTGATGAGCTCAATGGCTGTTAAGGTGTTATTCACCTGTAAGGCATCAAAAGCACATTTCAACATCTATCAACTCGGTTTAAAGCATAATGAAATGCTGTCATAATATAAAGGTCTAACCATGCTTAATTAGGATGCTTCTCTTAGCCTTGCAAAGCACACATTCGCCCTCATGCAAATCCTTATTGTACAACTGAGAAACCTCTGAAGTTTGTTATGTGAGCGCTCTTCCTCAAGAGCATAAATATAACCATAGAAAAAATGTGACAGCTTCAGTGTTTATAAGTTTGTTCAGCTAATGTTTGGAACAAACAATACAGCATCAATGTTGCACTGTTACAAGTCCAGGAGTGTTAGTCTCGTTAAAGTGAACCCATGTGGTGGTGGGTTGTATTCCTTAGGCGTGAGGATTCCATGAAGATGAGTGTGAGTCAAAAGGCTGGTGAAAAAAGATTCTGTGATTCTTCACAGTCATTAAGCAACAAAGAGCAGGAAAACACTCCTCAGAGTCTAAAAGGGCATCCTCCTGCCGAAGAAGAGGGATGGAGGGGAGCAGTAAACCCACGCACGCTGTTGGGACTCGCATGCTTCTATAATAACATGCAGCCAATGCAAAAATACAAGGTCATCACAAAAAATAGGAGAGTATTTTACAGCATATCTACTCATGAAGCACTGGCCACCATGGTTTCTACAGGGCGGGACACTGGAAATGTGTTTGGTAATGAAAACGCTGTTCAGGCATTTGCAACACAAAAAACAAAAGATATCAAGCTGTAAGTCTTTATGCGAGATTGTAGTGTTAGAAGCAACTATGACTTCTGTTCAGCTCCTGCTGCAGATAGGGCCGTGCTCTCGGGTTTAAGGATCTGGTAGGTGATGAGGTACTCTGGGTAGGCCTGGGGGCAAAAAGGGCAAGATGGTAGTGTTACATAAAACTCCTGTGTGCTTTAAAGGAATAGCTTGCCCTGATGCCTCAGCTTACCTGCTCTCCTCTGTAGATGACATACTCAGCATAAGCTAAACCGTTAACACTGGGCCGCCCAATCACCGAGTGATGCCCTGGAGGGGCATGGGCCATCTTCATGGCACTAAACTGTAGGAAAGACTTCCCCAAAGTCACTCGGCAGAATAGCATTTGTCTGAGAGGAGCAGAAAAAAAGTGTTCAAACAGCACCGCTAATGGCCGTTTAAACAGCGATGGTTTCGCAACAAACGGCAACACCTACAACCAGAAATAAATTCTTCCAGTGTGACTCACCTATGGCACAGGTAGCAGGATCGGTCTTTGTGCGTTGGGCATCCTGTGCCTCCGCCGATACCATAGACGTACTGATTGCTCTTTGAAGAGTTTTCCGCAAAGTAAATTCCTGCTCCAAACATCCCTCCGATGTACGCGTGACGTTCATCAAAACCTTTGTGAATGATGGCGTTGATGAAAGGAGATCCTGGGAATAAATGCATCAGTTGTAGAACCTTTGTATTCAATAATGTGATGTCACACAGCTGAAAGAAAGCGTATCGTGGTAGGTGGTTACCATGAAACAACATGCGCTCATTGTGATGGTTATGGTTCTCATCAGCGATCTCCTTCTGCCTGTGGGTGTAACGCTCCCTCAGCTTCTTATTTACAACCTTCTGAATCTATGAAGCACAAAGCACCACATGATTTAGGACGCTGAGCCAGACTGTTGCTGTTATCAGGTATCATTAGGATCTCCCAACCTACAAAATGAGTAAAGAACTACCTTGATGATATTGTATCGGCTGAAGACGCCACCCGCATTGCCTCCATCTCTGTGTTCCCTAATGGTGCTCTGCATCTGTGAAACACACACACACACACACACACACACACACACACACACACACACACACACACACACACACACACACACACACACACACACACACACACACACACACACACACACACACACACACACACACACACACACACACACACACACACACACACACACACACACACACACACACACACACACACACACACCATATTGTAGCACGAGCTGGTGTTTGGGCTTTAACCAGAAGAGGGACGATGCTGCAAAAACAAAGTTTTTAACACGTTTAGAGGTGAAAGGAATATTCATTACCTCCTCCTCTACAGACTGGTACTCTTTGTCGTCAGGGGCCAGGTCTATCAGGATGGTGCCCTGGTTGGCACAGTGGAACGTCAGATACGGGTTGCCACCTGGAAAGTGGACACAACATTTTCAGAACATTTTAAATCATGAGACTTAAGCAGCTTGATGAAAAACAGGAAGATATTTTTTCCTGTAAGGTTTTCTCACCTGACTGTCCCCCCAGCAGCCTTTCAATACCCTTGATCAGTTTGTGTCGGTGGCCATACGCGTTAATCCCAATCTCCTTCAGCTCCTCGTGGCCCATGTCAGCCAGAACATCTAGTGTGATCTGGAAAACAATTTTAATTACACGTCTTTCCTTTGTAAATTATAAAAATCTAAGAATCTGCTCTGTTACTGACCTGTTCCCTTTCAAAGATGTCCCTCAGGTGCTCAAGACCCAGACTCTTTAGGAACTGACTGATGTTCATGTCCAGAACTGCCACTGTAAAAGAAAACAAAAGACTGAGAACCCATTTTTATAGGAAAAATTTCACTATTAGAGCCCCTCCATCTGTTGAGAAAGTTTCATGTGACAAATGTAATAAACCTACTTTCTCCTTCCTTGCGGTCAGTGCCTGTGGCTCCGTCCGCCACACCAGAGGGTCCAGAAGTGGCGGCGGCAGCAGCAACCAGCTCAGTGAGCGGCCCAGCCAGGTTGTCTATGCTGCTGGCTGCTGACAGACAGGATGGTGTGGAGGCGGGGGAGATGACGGAGGCGCTGACCACTGTGGCCTGCGGCTTGAAGCAGCTGGGCAACGCGTCTGGTGGCATGGCGTCCATCAGTAGGGCTCTGATATCATCGGCCTGCAGAAACACCCCAGAACATTAGTCAAGAGAAGCTCTGTGTCTTATTTTCTAAGTCTTCATTAAGCAAATAAGATAAATCAGGTTCTCCGTCCTCATGCAGCCCCTACCGTAGCCAGGTCCAGAGCAGTCTGGCCTTCTTGGTTCTTCATAGTGGGGTCAGCTCCATGGGCCAGCAGCAGCGCACACAGCTGTGTCCGACCCTTCTGGGCCGCCTCGTGGAGGGGCGTGAAAGCCCATTTGTCTGTGGCATTCACACACGTGTTGTACTTGATCAGCAGAGCTGCGATGTCTACATGCTGTGAGGAAGAAGAGCAGCAGACAGCTAATCAACAAAAGCAGGAGGCTCCAACCACATTCACAGTCCTGAAACACGAGAAACGCTCAGGTCATGAGTGGAAGTTTTGGTTTGTCTTTGGGCTGCTGGTACTGACCCCATAAGAAGCGGCATTATGAAGAGGGATAAGGCCCCCCTTGTCCTGGGCGTTGACATCAGCCCCGTGCTCCAACAGATACTCCGCTACCTCCAGGTTGTTGTAGCCGGCTGTGGAGGGGAAAAACAAATCTAATCAAGAACAATGTAGCTTCTACGATAAACTGAAGCAAAATGATCTAAATATCATATTTGTGCAGTAGCACCCATTCCTATGACCCATGACATCACACCAAAGCTGCTGTACCTGCTAGGTGGAGCGGTGTGGAGTTTCGCCCCTGAGCATCTCTGCAGTTGATATTTTCTGGGGAGCAAAGTTTCTGCACTCTGGCCAGGCAGCCCTTTTTGGCAGCGTCCAGCAGGGCGGCGTCCCCCCGCAGCAGGTCCTGGATGTCTGTGTCTCCGTCTTTCACCATGTCCAGGGGAATGTTGCCATCACGGTTCTTCTTGGTGGGGTCCGCTCCGTGCTGAAAGGGAAAAAACATATATTTTAATAAACATTTAAAATGCATTAGTGACAACTTTCATGTGACAGACAACTCCTCACTTTGAGAAGAAGTTTGCAGATCTCGTATTTCCCTTTGGCTGCAGCCTCATGAAGTGGTGTGAACTTCCAGAGGTCGGCCACATTGACTGAAGCTCCATGCCTGACCAGTAGCTCAGCCACTTCGTAGTGACCATAAGAGCAGGCGTTATGGAGGGGGACCAGACCTCTGAGGGACAAAAACACAAGTCAGCCTCCTCACTGAAATCTAGAATTAAACAACTAAAAGGGTTTGTTTTAAAAATAAAACACCAACCCCTTGTCTTTGGCGTGAACATCAGCTCCATGGTGGAGCAGATACTCAACAACGGCCACTCGATTGTAACCTGCTGCAAAGTGGAGAGGAGTGGAGTGACGGCCCTCCAAGTCCCGGCAGTTTACGTTCTGGGGGGTGCAAAGTTGCTACCATGCAAAGTGACAATAATCAGTATCAGTTACTTCAAGAACTTGTTAGAAAAAGACTGCTTCTGGACATTTAAAATAAAAAAAGAGCTTTATTTTATTTTGTAAATTTACCTGAACTGTGTCCAGGTCTCCTGCTTTGGCAGCTTCCAGAAATCTGTAGTCTACATCAGAATTACGAGTGGGAACATTTTCTGTGGGGAAAATAAAGAAATTAATGAATCAAATTAATGTACACATGAAATAATCATACTTGATTCTGAAAAAATATCAATAAAAGTCATGTTAAATCTTATAAACAGAGCTTAAATTCTCAGAAAAAGCCCTACATGTCTTAAACAAGAATAAAAGGCATAATTCTAAACCTTAAAATAAACCTTGAAGCAAATCAAAAGTGGAGATTACCATTAAGAATTTGTTGCACAGCCTCGTTGCCCATCTGCGCTGCAGTGAAGCCCTGCAGGGACACAATGGAGGGGTCTGCCCCGTAGCTCAGCAGCAACTTGCAGGTCTGGATGTGACCCGCCAGCGCTGCTCGGTGAAGAGCCGTCTGCCCCAGTGTGTCTGCAGCATTCACCTGGAGTCCACAAAAACTCGTGTTTTCTACTTGATATCAGGCAGAACAAGATAGAGGCACGATGACAAACCTTGGCTCCGTGTTTCTGCAGCACCTCCAGGATGTCATTGTGAGCTCTTTCCGCAGCAACGTGTAGGGGAGTCATGAAGCTAGAAGACAAAGATAACTCTTCAACATTCCTCCAACTCCAGTTTTGCTTAATGTGACATGAATGCTGATGTTTTCTTTGGCAGCAAACAATCCATGCTGTTACTTACTCTTTGTTTTTCTCATTGATGTTGGCACCTTTACGAAGCAGCAGCTCAGTCACCTGTTTCCTCTTGGGGTGGGGGGACGCCACAGCACAGTGCTGTAATACAGGACGTTACATTTAGATGGAATCCTTTAAAAATCTAAATCTAAGAAGGAACCCAAAAGAAAAGGCTGACCAGAGCAGTCTCATTGGTTTGAGGATGTTTGAAGCCGATGATCTCCAGAGCCAATGTCTTCTTAACTTTGGTCATGTCAGCTTCACGGGCAGCCTGCAGCAATGAGTGACCTTTGAACTCATCTACAAGAGGGAAAACAGGAACAATTACTCATCATATTCTGTTGTTGAAGACAGTCTTAATTACATTCTTGTAGGTAAAATATATTTGTATTTGTGGTTCTTGTAGCTTTGTTCACCCCCCCCCCCCCCCCCCCCAAATATAAAAAATAAAAATAAAAAACACTCAAAACGTTACAGAAGCTACAATGTGCATGTTCACCATTACAGCGTATAAACATGGGAAACTCACAGGTGAGCCTCTCTTTCAGCTCTGGAGTGGGGGCCATGTCCACAGCGCTCTTACTGTGACAATTTAGCAGGGTTGGGTCTGCCCCGTGGCTCAGGAGCAGGGAACAGACCTCCACTCGGTTCTTGGACGCCGCCTCGTGAAGAGGCGTGAACTGCCACAAGTCCATGGCGTTCACACAGGCTCCATGCTGCAGAGAGAGCAACCCATCAAGAGAACAGCATACATGGGCCAAAGAATTACCATCGGTGTGCCAACATGTGCTGGAAAACTCCATTATCTTTAGGTTAAATGGAGTTCATGATTAAGTTAGATACAAGCGTAACATTTCCACGTGAGATGTTTTGGCCACAAGCATGAAAGTGTGAAACGATCAGACATGTGAAACAGAGAGCATAGCATGCGTCGTTTGTGCTAGCAAGCGGACAGAAGCAGGTTAGCTGCACTTTCCTCCAACATTTCATTTTCCCAATCATGTTCTGCTTTAAAAAGAAAATGTATGAACAAGAAAGTGGAAACAAAACAATTTCAAAGGTGGGAGAGCTGCATTTGTGGTCCTCAATAGTGATTTTGACCGTTAATCCCTTAAAATAATGTGTGATGAACATCTGCAGGACTTACTTTGAGCAGAAGCTCGGTGACTTCATAGTGTCCATATGAGCAGGCGTTGTGAAGAGGAACCAGGCCGCTGGGAAAATAAACAATACTGGTGTCATAAATAACAAAGAACAATCAGAGATTAAACGCTTTCCCCTCTTAATGAGTCCCTTACCCCTTGTCCTTGGCGTGAACATCAGCGCCATGTTGGAGCAGCAGCTGAACAATGCGGACCCGGTTGTAGCCCGCAGCCAGGTGGAGGGGAGTGGACTGGAAGACAGGACGGCTTGTTAGCACACTCAGACACCAGCAGCCTTGGAGTCTACCGCTTCTGGTGGCCACAGTGGCAAGCTGCTGATTAGGGCCAGAAGCTACTGCAGCTTAGGCTTGGTGAGTTGCAGATGGATGAAAGATTTTATGATGCAAGTTCAGTGGAGTTTGTGGGCAAGTCCAGCGACAAAAATTTTTTGCTGTCTATTATGACGCACACAGTTTCATCCTTGTTACTCATCCAACTTGAATTTTATTAGATAAAAATCCCCAAATAGGAGTTTTGTGCAGTGAGCAGAAAGAAGGGGATTAGTTCAACAGAATTTGAGTCCAAATGATTGGGTATAAATAACGGTTAGGATGTGACTCTTGCCTAATTGCATTGTTGGTTCTTTTTTAAAACAGAGAAAAGGTTTCTTTTTACCTTGCTGACAGTTTCATTCGCAGCTGCAAACTTCCTCAGAGCTGACGCTGATGGTGGCGTCACTTCCTACTCCGTTTATCCGCGGGCAGCAGAGGATGTTGTCGCCCTCTGCTGCCCCCTTTCCCCTCAACGATGATGCAATCCCATGCCAATCCAATGTGCAGACCCCATCGTCTCTGTTCATGGTCCCGCATCCAAGTCTCCTTATCTCTATGGTTTACCGTAAATTCCGGACTATAGAGCGCACCTCAATATAAGCCGCACCTACTAAGTTTTTAAAAAAACATGGAACCGCACCGGGCTAAAAGCCGCAGATTTCTACTGGATATCTACTGAATTGAAAACATAGTTTAACAGAACGTAACTTAACTGATCAGTATCAAACAAAACAGAAAATTTATTGATTAGTTTATTCATCGTCCTCCTGCGCACTGAAACCACTGAAGTCATCTTCAGTGTTGAGTTGAACAGCCTCAGAAGAGCTTCGTTACATACCTTTTCTGTGGCGATGTCAGTGTCGCTGTCCGTGTTGCGGTCATCATCCCGGGGAGAAGCTGGCTTGAATGAGTTCTTCCCGCTGCCGTCTCCAGCACCAAACCATGGATTAATTCGTGCCAAGCTTACGTGCGGCAGCACTGTTTCCCTCCTTGACGGCCAGCTCGATGGCCTTCAACTTAAATGCAGCATGATATGAACTCATAAGTGTAGTTACCATGATGAGGGGGTATGGATTTGAAAAAAATTCTTCGTCGTGCCGGCTAAATTAAAATGAGCACTTTCTTTGATTTCCACTTTTGACTTCCACCCGTTTCACTTTCTGCTAAAGCGCCCCCTGGCAGGTGAAGGAAAATCTTCAGTAAAGCCACACCTCATTATAAGCTGCATGGTTCAAAGAGTGGGAAAAAAGTAGCGGCGTATAGTCCGGAAAATATGGTACTTTATCCATCTTTTGTATTTCTGTTGTTCGGTGTTTATAATCCTTGTGTTGTCCCAGTCCATTATATGGTTTTCTCTTGTGCAGTGATCTGTTACGGCTGACTTCTTTATTGTACTTTCTGCTTCTTGTTTTGCTGCTCTTATGTGTCTTCGACTTGTATCTCGCACTCCTTTCTATGTTCTACTGTTCGTGTGTTGAGTTGGCGTCCGGTTTCTCCTATGTATGTTTTATTGCAGAGTTTGCATGGGATTTCGTAAACGACTCCACATTCATGTCCTGCTGGTACTTTGTCTTTTGGGTGTACTAGTCTATTTTGAACTGTCGTGTATGGTTTTTGTTGGTGTGTTTATGTTGATGTAGCACCTCTAGCCTAACTTTAGTTGAGATACTCACATTTACCTAGGTTGTATAGGAGTAACACTCAAAATGGGAGCAAGTGCTAGGTTGAATAATTAGCATTTATTGCTGCACGATAAAATTTTTGACAGCACTGCTGTAACTCAATGAAAATGAGGGCGCCACAAGAAAAAAAAAAAAGAAATAAATAAAACAAGACCAAATCAGTCCATTCGATTGAGCTCAACCGGTTAATAATTTGGATTCCAAAATGTGTGTGTGTGTGCTCTTCACGTTGTCCTCCAGTATTACCACTCCTACTACCCGGGTAGGTTGCTAATGTGAGTGTCTTATCTGTGATCAGTGGATTGTTGCAATAGTCCAAGGATTTCTGGGCAGGATGCGTGGCTGGCCACACCGCATCACCAACTGCCTTCAGGATCACTGGGCTGGGCTCGCCATACAATCTTCCAAATCACTGACAGTTCTTATCATCCGGAACAGAGGAAAAAAACCAACCTACACAAGAAGTGTAGGGTTGACAGAATATCTGATTCTGTCAAATCTTATGAGATCTCATCAATTACCTTTCTTGATCTAACAAGTAACGTAAAACCAAGCATTAAGGTAATACATATGCATCCATTTGACATTTATACAGTTTGTCAACTGTTAATTTAACCATTAGCTTAAGCGTTAGCATCTCGCACTTTGCATTAGCATAACACAAACGTTTTTTTCCCCAACACTTTAAACATAACTTAAGGACACAAACAAAATATAAATGTCACAGAACATTTCCCAAAACTATTTTAACCTTATCAAACATCTTTCTACGTAGTTAACAAATATATTTAAGTTTTACTCCATCACTGCTAACAAAAACAGTATAGTTTAGCATGGGACTCACCGGAGTTTCAAGCAGTTAAAAGAAAAGGTAAACCCCCCTGGTCTCACACTCTGGTAATATTCATCCCATCTCTCGTCCAAAATAGTCAGGTCATTGATTTATTCACAACAGTTCGTTTTTTGTCTGTCGTTCTAAGTTCATGTCTGTAGCTGTCTGCCTTGTGTCTCTCTCTCTGCACGTCTAGTGCTGCTGACACTCGGCTCTTCTAAAAAGGAATTGATGTCCTGTGGAGTAAGCGCTTAACATGTCAGACTACGTGGAATCTTATATCCTGATTTTCTACATGGGTTACATTGTGTTTTTTCATTGTTGCTCTTATGTTTTCTGTTATGCCTTTGATCTATGATAGGGTTATCACTGGTTTTGGTTCTTGTCTTTTGGGGTTTCTGGTTCTTTGCTTTGGTTGTTCTTTTCTTTCCGTTTGTTGTTTTCCTTTGTTTATCGCCCATGTCGGGTATCCGCAGGTCTTTAAAGCGTGTTGTATGTGTTTGTCCTCTTGTTTACGGTCTCTTTCAGTTACGTTTGCTCGGTGATATAATGTTCTGATAACTGACATTTTGTGTATGGTAGAGTGTTCTGATGTCCATAGTAAATATTGGTCTGTGTGTGTTGGTTTCCTATGTGTTTATGTTTAGGGCCCTGTCGGTCTGCCTGCTTATTTTCATGTCCATAAATGCTATGCTGCCTTCTGTTTCTGACTCATATATGAACTTTATGTTGCCTGTGTCAATGTTATTCAAGTGTTTTGTTAGTGTTTGTTTGTCCTTTTGGTATGATTTCCAGTATGTCATCTACGTAGCGTTTCCTTGATTTTATTTTGCAGTTGGGGGGGGGGGGGGGGGGGGGGCTATGGCTTTTTGTTCTAGGTCTTCCATGAAAAACTCGCACAGGGTGGCTGATGACGGGTTACCCATGGCGAAGCCTTCCAGTTGTTTGTATAGTGTTATCGTATAAGTAAATGGAGTTAACTACCAGTCCTATCAGTTGTGCTATGTCATCCGCTGTGAGGTTTGTCCTTTTGTGTAAAGTTTTGTCCTGTCTGATTCTGTTTACTATGTCTATGGTTTTTTGGGTTGGTGTTTTAGTGAACAGGGATGTGACGTCATGTGAGATGAGTATGTCATTATCTTCTATTGTAATCTTTTTTAGTTCTTTTGTCAGTTCTGTGCTGTTTTTGCAATGTTGATCTGTGTTACCTAAGAACGGGCTGATGATTTTGCAGATTTCTTTTGCCATGTTGTATGTTGGTGTACCTATGCTGTCTACTATTGGTCTAAGTGAGGTGTTTTGTTTGTGTATTTTTGGAGTTCCACATATTCTTGGTTTTATGTTTGCTGTAGTAATCCAGTGTTTGTACATTTTTCTGTTATTTTGCCTTTTTCTTTTAGTGGCTTCAGTAATTTTTTCATGTTTTTCTTAATGTTTTCTGTTGGGTCTTTTTAAAGTATTTATGTATTTTTGTCTTCTAGCCTCTGTTTCATCTGTTGTTTATATTTTTCTTTGTCCATTACCACTGTGGCTCTTCCTTTGTCTGCCGATGGAATAATTATCTGTTCATTTTTGGATAATGCTCTCATGTCATGGCTTCTTTTGTAATATTGCTGTGTTGAACTTTGCTGTTCTTTAATATCCCAACAACATTTCTAAGTTCTGCTTTCTTTCCTTCATCTGTAGATCTGTTGACATGCCATTTCTGTTGCTACAATAAATTCATCATGTGGCATTTTCTTTGGTGTTACTGCAAAGTTTAAACCTTTTTTAAAAATGCTTTCTTCTGCATCGGTTAGTTTGTATTGGAGTAGGAAGTGATGCCACCATCAGCATCAGCTCTGAGGAAGTTTGCAGCTGCGAACGAAACAGTCAGTAAGGTAAAAAGAAACCTTTTCTGTGTTTTAAACCAACCAGAACCAACAATGCAGTTAGAAAAGCAACACAGCAAGAACATACCAAAGAAACTTGCCTAATTACTAATCAAACAATGGATTTTTGTAATTTAATGAAGTCTCCAAAATAATTTAGAAGTTTTGATCCCAAACTGATTTTAGATTTGATCACTGAAAATCACTTGTACATGGTGTGATGCTATCAAAACCCAACCGTAACATGATAAAATGAAGCTGGACTGAGCAGGCTGAGTGTTTAAAAAAACAAATCTGCATAAAGCTAAAGGATCAAATCAAATGCTTCGAATTAGCCAAAAAAATAAATACAAATAATGTTAGTTTAAGCAAAGCTACAAACCCCATCTTCAACAGCAGAAGTTCATTATTCAAACAGCTGGCTCTGCTAAGCTCAGTAAAATACTAACAGATATTACTTCAATTTCCATGCAGTGACATACACAATAAACCCGGGAGACGAAGTGGAACGTCTCAAGCCAAAGTGTGAAACTGATGAGGTGGTTTGAGTTATGAATCATTCAGTGAGGAATGACACAAGCAATCAACAGTTGTTACCAAAAAGGGCAGCAAGGCATCTGGGTGATGGGTGAAACGCAGTCCATTCATTACTGCACACCAGCGGATTCAACAGTGAACGTCAAGAAGGCACAAATTTCACAAGACACATGATTCGCTCGGCAAAATGCAGAGGCAGGCCGTGAGGAGTGCATGAGAAATCATTAAAAATAAAATGAAATACATAAATTAGAAGCCTGATTAATGCCGCCTGAGTGGTGAAGTGTTTTAAAGATGTGGAAGAGCGGGTGAGTGCAGAAGAGAGGACAGACACCGAAGAAAGCAGGCAGTGGATATTTTGAGCTCCTCTTCAGATTCAAAAGGATGAGTGGTCACCATGACAACAAACTCACTCAGTCACAAGGCGCGCGCGCACACGCACACACACACAAAGTAGCATCAGGGTAGGATAAATGAGTGACCCACGCACCCAAGTCCATGATGTGCAATTAACAAGTGACTGCCAGCTTATTGGTCAAATAAAAATGATGGATTAAATAAAAAGATCACAACAGTGCATCAAGTGGCCATTATCAAGGTCAACTTACCAGCATTTTTTGTGAGGTTGACTGATCGACAAATGTTGCCAGAGTCACACGGAAAACAAAATGAAACACAAATTACAAAATGACATCATCTCGTCACAGAAACCTCCCTCTCCCTCTGAGTCAATGAAAAACACAAACGGCTGTTTTAAAAATCACTCGTCACATACATCTGAAAAATAAATGTGCCGCAAACCAGAAGGGATAACACCTTCCTTAGCTTTCTAACAAAGAAGTGGCTGATATCCCAAAGTAAAGATCACATTGCTCTAAATGTAGGGCTGCACAATATTAGGAAAACCTGCGATATTCGATAACGATTAATATTGCGATGACGATATTACTTGCAATAAATAAAAACTTAACTCAGGAACAAAAATGATCAAAAACAAAGAAATTAAAAAAATCATGAAAATGAGAAAAGCAAAAGATGTGAGGAAAGAGAAAAGGAAAATGAACAAGAAAAGGCAATCAGTGGATCCCGGGAAAAGCAGAATCAGCAGAAAGAGCAGAACAAAGCTAACACAGGTGTTTGCTAACCATCAAAATAAGGTGCCGTCTGCCTCGGGGGCGGGACTCTAACCTATGAGAGCCAACCCGATTGGCTAAATGGGTGAAGAGCTCCATTTGATTTGTTAAAAAAACATGCTTCCGTTTGACTGGCAGAATGTATTATGTGTAACAAACATTTGAGCTGACCATTCATAACGATATTTATCTTTTCTTTGCAATATGCATATTGTGCATGCCGATATCGCGATAATATATTTACGACATATTGTGCAGCCCTATCTAAATGCATAGTGAGGATTAGAGCACAACTTAGGGATGGGTACAGGGCTGTAAGTGAGCAAAATGTGCATAAACTTGGGAGACAAAATACATAAAACACATAAAAAACAGAAATAAACGGCAGTCTAGAATTGAAATGCAAAAATGATGTCACTTAGAAAAGCTGATGTTATTTGAATCAGATGAAGCAGAGCATCCAACAAGTTGTTCCACTTTCCTCTTTAACCAGGACAGAAATTACAATCATTTTACCAGTTTTTACACTGTAGGTATTTTCCAGTCACATGTAAAGACTGGAGAAACACCAGGAATCACAGAGGAATTAAAGTTGAGTTTCTGATCGAGGATCTAAAATAAAAAAAAACTGAAATTGCTTTTCTCTGACATGAAAATAAAAAATGATCAAAAGAAATACTCCCAGATATAAACACAGCTACCAGGTCTAACGGTCAATCATAAAATTTGCAGTTTGTCAAAAAATATTTTAAGGATGCACCGAATGACCCAAAAGGGCATTTTTGGTTTTTGTGCGTAAGACTTTAATTCCAAAAACAACATGGCTGGAATAGGCTGACAGGTGAACTTGTTTTCGTTTCATTTCGCTCAGGCCTCATATGGCTACTTGCTCTTTGCTTCATAAAAATAGTACATTCGTACGGATTTCAAAAGTAACATTTTCCCCTTATAGTAATGCCGTTTTATTACGATCGTTGTTGTAATTCGGGACTAGTTTGTTTTGTGAGTAATGAGAAAGAAGTGAAGCGGCTCTCACATGATCGTTTTAGACGAACGCAGTGGACACATTTAGTAAACAGAAATCCAACATAGCGGTGTCCTCAAGAGTCCAAAAATGCGGCGATTATAAATTTAATAGCTCAGAAACTTTTTAACTTGTGAACAAAATTGATTTTATGGAAACGTGGAGCTGAAAAAAACGCAAAGTAACACTGCTGTCCCCGCTATTCTCATTATACATGTTGTCCGCACAAGCAGTCAGTGAGTCTTCCGTACTTCAGGCCATGTCCTCGATAAGAGGAACAGAAAGCAGTAGTATTCCTACACAGAAAAATTTATAAACGGCGCTCAACATCGTTTTTATAAGAGAACATATTTAATTTTAGTTTTTCTCAGCAGGCCTTTCAGTCATAAGCCTGTACATTTATAATTTATTATTATTTAATGTACATGAGTGAGGTCAAGTGAAGCATTTTATTTTGAGTTTTCATTTAAATTTAGAAGTGTTTTTCTGTCCGTGCTAAATAAATGCTATGATTGAAATAAGTGACAATCATTTCTTCAGTGTAACGGTTTTCTGCCTTGGTTTCCTCATTTTCATTTTGGTGCAGCCCTAAAATATTTCAAGAAAGCAACTGTGTTCAGTCTATCAAACTGCGGTCTTTGTTTTAAAATACTAAAGGAATAAAACAACTAAAACAATACATTAGAAATAAAACAACTTGATAATAAAAGTACCACTGAAATTATTGAGGCTGTGAAAAGTCAAGAAGGCTTGATGGAAGGAATTTAATGGATTTTAAGAATTACCTGATTTACATAAAAAGAACAGCACACATTTGGTGTTTTCACATCTGGGCCGGCCCGGCCCAGCCCTGGCAGGTTAATTGTGTTCACATCTGGGTAATACGGGCGTTTTCTGCACTCAGCTGACCCGTTTTTGTTGGACCTGCTCTCCGGTGATCTGCCTGTGCAAAGCCGACCAAACACACCAACCACTGACTGATTGGCTGGCTAAAGTTCACGCCTACCTACTAGAGGGAGCCTCCGATTGGTGGGTAGAATCAGCCAGTAGAGGCTTCCCGAATGTGCTATTCTCTGTCAGTCTGGATTCAGTGGAGTAAACATCTTCTCCGACTGCTGCGCTGGCCTTCCACGCCAGCATGAGCACAGACTGCTGTGAGGAGCACACAGCACTGGATGAGAGAGTAGAAAGCTGTGTGCTTCATGCAAGAGTCTCCAAAAGCAACACTGCTCACAGCCACCTTTGTAAATTAAGGAGGACAACGCAGACTTCTTCACGGGACTATTTCCCCATCCATGTGCTTGGAGACATTCGCATTCCTGAGAAGGATATGTGAACAAGACCGGGTCGCGTGGGGGCAGGCCGACACCATTAACACAGGACTGGGTCAGGCCAAATAAGAAAAGGCCAAGAGTGTGTAGCTCTGGTTTGTCTTCAGTCATGTGGAGCTCATTAATACTCCCTCCTACAAATTCAGTGACAAATCCTCTTTCCTCCCACAGCCCACAAACTAATCTGGCACTAATCGGACTGCATCCTAACTGACTCAGAAATCCGGAACAATGCTTTATAAGTACAGCGTTGTGTAGCCTGTTTCAACGTCATGCGTAAACACAACAATCTGAAGGATGGGGCACTACTGAGTCATTTACCTTACGACCATCACTGGCATGACAGTTGACATTTAATGGAGTCAGCAGTGCCATCAGTTTTTCTTCATTTCCACTCCTGTAATCGCATAAAGACGTCATTAAACTCCCCCATCAGTCAGAATTCCCTGAAGCTTTTTCACACAAACACACTCACCTTGCTGCTTCAAGGAGTTCATCCTTCTTATATTCTCCTAAAATAAGAAAAACATTCAGATTACAACTGTAGGTTTAAATCTCGTTCTGCAGATCCTACATGTCACAGCAATACAAAACACAATTCATATGTAAGCACACTAATTAACACTCTGTGAACACACATATGCACAGACGCGCACACACAGCTCTTGTCATACTCTGGGGGTCATCTGCACAAACATTGCTCATGCAGACTTGTCTACAGAGTTCTTGTGATGCAGACGTATACACAATTCTTTGTAGTCTCTCTAAAATGTGCTTCTTTTTGCTTTGTGTTTTATTCCTACCAATAACTGTAAATATACGATGGACGACTCTTCCGCACCACACGTAGGTTTCTGAAGAACTGAATTGAAGCCCGATGGGCATTTCCCAACACCTCCATCTTGGCCACATTGTACATCTCGTCACTCAAGGAAAATACAAAAATGGAGCTGAGAGCAGGACTGTGAGGGTGGGGGTCGATGATTGCCACCCAACAAACTGAGGCGACGTAGCTATGAGCTAAAGGAAGCCAACAGAGGTTGATGGGCGCTTAAACCTCGGTTGAGCGACTCGTGTATATTTTTGCTGTGAAATTGGTGTTAACATGGGAGTCAATGAGAGCTTGTTCCTTTCTAGATCCAGCCCCTAGTAGATTTTATTTGGGGGGGGGGGGTTATACTGCAATTCTTTTGTCACTTCTGCAGTGACTTCACCTATAGCAGGCAAAGTTTGCCCCTAAACTGATCCAGTGCTCTGCACACACAGTTACCAAAGGATCCCTTTCACACAACTACATTTTATTACAACAGTAAAGGCACGGTATCGGATTATATCAGACTGCATAAAAAATCTCAGATACAAGCAGTCCGTGAAGGTTCACATTTTTGCAACCAAAGGTTAAGATTTTTTTTTCTTTTTTTCATACTTACTGTTATAGGCTCTTGTTCTCCGATTGGTTAATATCACTTGATCAAGCCTTTCATACATTCCACACTATGAAATAGGTAAAAGTATGTATGATTTGTGCTGATTGATATCGGTACCAGTCAATACTGAAAGCTGCAATTTTGGTATCGTATCGGAAGTGAAAAAGTTGTATCGGGACATCCCTATTGGAAGCCAACTTCAGTCACCTTGGCTCAGTGCTTCCCTGCCGCAGGAACGCGCAGCGCTCAGCCGCTCATTGACGCTACTACGAGTGAGGACATAGCAACTTTTAAACATATCCGTAATATTAACACGGTTCTTATCTGTGTGTTTCCTGAAAAAGTCATGCTTTTGGGCAGAGAAATTTAAAAATTATGTTTTTTGTCAGGACTAATGTTTTAAAGTCAGTGTGTCAGGATTATTGTCCCTGCACCCTGGTTACTAATAACGGATGACGTTCCTGCTTTTTAACCAACAGCACAACAGTTTAAGCCCGTCTAAATGTTTATGAGAATCTCTGCTGATGCTCAAGAGCAGAACTGAGTTATTTATATTAATTCTGTAGGCTCGTGAAAAATCACTACAGTGCAGTCTGTGAAAAAACATGATTGACACTAAGATGGAGGTCTGACAACTCAAATTATAAATTAAACAAATACATTTCTTTATTTCTGTATAAATATTGTGTAGAATACTCTGTATGCTTCCTAACCCCAAAATTCCACTATATCCGCTCCGGCACGAACTCCGCAGCAAAAACAGTCCCGTTGTAGTCAATCAGAGCTGTTCCACTACTGCGGACGTGTGGCACAGTGCGCCGCCCGCCGTTCCGCCATCCGGCAAAAATAGGATCGATTCTAATTTTGCCGGACGCCGGAGCACCTCCGCAGTCAATAGACAGAAACCACAACCGCCCAACAGGAAAGGGAGCAAGCACAACTTCCGTTATTTCACAATAAATCGATAAAAAGCGTTTTTTGTTTCATATACACAGGTTTAACAACTTTTAACAACTATCAATGGCGGTTGAACTTTAAATGCACAAAAATAAGCCATAAATACAGTTTCTACTAGCAAAGTAGTCACCGTTTGTTGATCCAAACACTGCTGATCTGTCAACACAAATGATGGGCAGATTAAACAAATAATTTTGATGCTTCTCCCACACAACGGGTGTTTGGATCCAACTTCCGCGTTTATTGCTCGGACTGGATCGCAAGATCTCGAAAATTCCGCGCATGCCTGTTTGCGCACATCAGGTCTCCGCACCGGAGCAGAGCCGTTGTAGAGCGGGTATAGTATAATTTGAGTTCGGAAGCGAGCAGCAACGTAAAGCGGGGCGGAGCGGAGATAGTGGAATTTTGGGGTAAGAGTCCATTCTGTTAAGGAAAGAAAATCATACTTTAGTGAAAATCTACAGAATGATGCACAGATCGGCAACAATAAATTATATACACTATTGTGATCAATAAAGTAAAACAAACGATACCAGGTTGGGGATAGGGCTGGGGGTAAACGATTATTTTTAAAACGATTATTCTGACGATTATTTTATCGAATAGTCGACTATTCTAATGACTATTTAGAAAATTAATCTAATGATTATTTTTCTATTGCACAATTAACAAAAACCAGAAAATCTCAAATAAATTCCTCAAAAAAATTGATAAATTCTTACTGTAAGAGAATAAACACTACAGGCCTTCCATTTTGTATAACACTGCTTTTACTGTGTTGCGGTTGGTTATGTTCTGGTGACGTGTAGAACTTGGGAGTGCAGGCTGCTGCCTGAGAGGTGGTAGAAGATGGAGTGTCTCCATGCTGCTTTGTTTTGGTCACTTATGTGCGGGAGGCGAGTGGTGTTATGACTCTTCCTGGGGAATTTGGCTCATGTGCAAAAAGGAAGGGACAATAACGGGATTTAAAAGTTAAAATGATGATCAGGTTTATTTACAACAACACAAATCATAAATCTTTCCATCCACAGGTTGGGAATAATAAAACTAATTCTGCCTGTGGGGAATTAAAACAAAAGTACAAATAAGTAGGGATCCAAACTCTAAACTGGGTGGTTAAACCAAACTCAAGGTGATATTTTAAACTAAACCGAAAACCCACAACACTCTAAATGTAATAAAAGGGAGATCTGCACCACAAAAAAGATGAACTCTAAACCAAAACGTAACAGCTTATCCCAATGCAAGAAGCTGTTAGCGAAGATGCTAACAGTAGCTTTACCAACGTTAAGTTCAAGTTACCGAGTTTAAATAAACCAAAAACACCCAGCAGCTAACAGACCAGCACGGAGGAGAGACTGCTAGCACCAAAACAGCTCTCCTAATGTCCGAAAGAAGCTCCTTTATGAAGGGAGAAATGCTCCCGGTGATTTTCTACATCTGCGGTAGAGACGAAGCAGCGCATCTGACCCCGGAAGTTGTTGCCCGTTGCCGGGAGACGAAGGCGGGCAAAACAGGAAAATAATCTAGTAGTGGACGGACATTGTTCCGGGTCTTCAGTATTTGGCGGAGATGTTAGTGAAGGCGGAGAAGAGGGCGAACTAGAGGAAAAACAGGCAGATTCCTCCTCTATTTACAAACTCCTGGGGATGCAACAAGTGGGCGCGGTGCGTCGACTACCGGATCTGACGTCGACAAATTTTTAGAATCGAGCCGTCGACGTCATCGAGGCTTTGCTACAGCCCTAGTTGGGGATTATTGATTAACAAAATCTGGGGCAGCTGAGATTTTGTCCCATAGCCATAAAATAAATGTTGGAATGAAACTCACTCCAGTAGCTCAAAGTACATGTCTGACCTATAAATTAATTTGTTGAGAATAAAACTTTGTTTTATGTTTTGAAAAAGTCAAAACAAAAAAAATCTTTGTCGACCAAAACCAACTAAGACTAAAATGCTTTTTGTCGTCAAGACTGACTAAAACTTCGATGCCCACCAAAAACCACACTGGCCGGCAGTAAGTCAGGTTTGTTTCCGATGAGTTCAACTCTGCCAAGGCTGCCCTTTGTCACCGATTCTGTTCATAACTTTTATGGACAGGATTTCTAGGCACAGCCAAGGTATTGAGGGCATCTGTTTTGGTGGCCTGAGCATCAGGTCTCTGCTTTTTGCAGATGATGTGGTCCTGGTGGCTTCATCAGAACGTGAACTTCGGCTTTCACTGGAGCAATTTGCAGCAAAGTGTGAAGCAGCTGGGATGAGAATCAACTCCTCTACACCAAGACAATGGTCTTGAGTCAGAAAAGGGTAGAATACCTTCTCCAGGTCAGGGAAGAAGTCCTGCCCTAAGTGGAGGAATTTAAGTATCTCCAGGTCTTGTTCATGAGTGAGGGAAAAATGGAGCCTGAAATCGATAGGTGGATTGGTGCTGCAGTGATGCGGGCATTGTACCGGTCTGTCATGGTGAAGAGAGCGCAGAGCCGGAACAAGAATCTTTCGATTTACTGGTCAATCTACGTTCCAACCCCAAACATTAGGTTTTATATAGCGCCTCTAACAATCATGAGGCGCTTCAGCACTTTCATTCTAAGCAATTGAGTGTTTGGGAACTGACCTGTGAGGACCGCCTTGGCTGAAGGGTCAGCAAGATCCAGAGCCGATTTACCATCTGTGTTACGGATGTTTGGATCAGCACCATGCTGAAGTAATACTGTTTGAAGGGAACCGAGATTAAATAAGATCACTTATTTTTCTTTGTGTTGGCCTTCCAGAACAATGACACCCATTGTATTATAAAAATAAAATAAGATTTTCTTAATGAATCCTTACCAATGCAGACATCTATCTTTCCCTTGATGGCAGCCTCGTGTAATGGAGTGTAGTTCCAGTTGTCTCTGGCATTTGGATCGGCACCTTGACACAAGAGGAGGCTGACGACCTCTGCGTGGCCAAAAGAGCACGCATTGTGTAGAGGAATGAGACCTCCATCATCCCTGGCATGAACATTAGCCCCTGTCTGCAGGAGGTGTTCCACCACATCTTTTCTACCAAAGCCTAAAAGAGTTAACACATTTTAGATTATATTTTTCTCCAGGAATGCTCAGAAACCAAACAGCAAAACAATGAAGATGTTTCTATTGAATCAATTTAACTGATAAACGCGTAACACTTGTGAGAAATCATTAAACAAAGTGGTGTTGAATTGCAATACACGGTGTAATGAAACTAGCAGTGGCACAGGCAGAATTTAAGATGCACGTTTACATTGACTAAATCAATTTGCTTTCATTGTCCTGCTATTTAAGTGTGATTATACATTTACCTGTAACAAAGTAAGATTCACAATTTTATCTTGACGCATTTACCATTTAGAAACTCACATGTAAGTCTGATAAGCTTTTGTTATGGTCATTTATCAAACCGCCTTTAGCGTGATGTCACCAATGTTAATGTAGGATAAACAAAATGGACAGCCGAGCAGCTACATTTGTTAAACTACCGATTTAGACGTACAGAGGTTGTTAAAATGAGGGGAAATGATCATAAATCAACATGCCAGGCCGTCTTAAGTAGTCGTTTGTTAACAACCGATAGCCTAGTGCTCTGTTCGCTAGCTTAACTAAACCTTACCCGCAGCGAAATGAAGCGGAGTGGATTTTCGGCCAGCCATGTCCTTCGCGTTTACATTCACCGAATCCACGAGTCTTTTAACACGGGACACATCACCATTTCGACAGGCTTCGAACAATTCTCTGAACGCGCCACCGACGCCGCTGCTACCGTCGCTGGGGCTGGTCACACCAGAGCCGGGGCTCGAGATGCTGCTGCCTCCGCCTGAGGTTGTCGTGGTGGAGCTCGCGCTGCTCGCCAGGATCGGGACTGGTAGGTCCGGGGAGGCCAGAGCCATCTCAATCCCTCCGTTACATTCCCTCTCATTCTCCGATATTCCCACAGCCGGGGACAGCAAAGCCATGGGCGGCGAGGCCGGAGAAGCACCTGAAAGAGCGTTGTTTCTAGGCGGGGATTGTAACGTACTCTGCTGCTGCGAAGAGCGACGAGACACCGCCATTACAGCAGTTCTCTGGCGACAATAAAACACTGAGCCTCCTTTCCGGTGAAAGTGCTGGTGTTTCCTGTCAGCTGTTTGCGGGGCTGGGGCAGCTCCAAAACCCATATAAAATCATTTCCATATATTTTCGTACAATCACTTTTTATTAGAGATTGGAAACAGTGCAGTGCAGTGCTGCAAATGTACACAAGTGCAAAAACAACAATGATAAAAAAACAAACTTCTTGTATACTTTAAAACTAAACAAGCTCTTTCTGAAGCTGACAGCAAACAAACAGATCATGCAAAAAACAAAACAGAAAATACAACGAACTTTAACGCTGGAATGTGTCAAACTTAAAGGAAGAAAAGCTTGTCTGCCAGCTGGATGGCAGGCTCTGAATGGAGGTACTGGCCAGCGAGGAAAGCCAGTTTGTGTGCGTATTTGCACGGGGCTGGGACTCGAATAGTTCCGGACCAGTTCCAGTAAAGGTGGCACATCTTGAATGTGAGCCTGGAACAAGACACACAGTAATAGTAGTAATATTAGTAATAAAAACAACAATAGTGGGTCAGACTTATGGGGCTGCTCGACTATGTGGTACACGATATTTGGTAATTTTGACTGAAATTGGGTTCTCGAATATACAACATGATCTTTAATTAATGTTGATAAAACAAATACTTAAGAGAGATATTCAGTGCAAACCAGGGATATCCAATATTATCAGTCTATCATTAAAGGTTGAATATGGAACATGAACACCGAAGCAACATTTAGTGTGCGGTTGCAATAATAATAATAATAATAATAATGTAATATAAATAATATAAAAAAACTTATATAGCGCTTTTCAGGACACACAAATACACTTTCACACACTCACATTCATACACTGCCAGAGATGGGAAGCTACTTTGTAGCCACAGCCACCCTGGGGTGGTCTGACAGAGGCGAGGCTGCCATTTGGCTCCGTCAGCCCCTCTGACCACCACCAACACAGGCAAGTTGGGTTAAGTGTCTTGCCCAAGGACACAACAGCAGAATACCCCTACCAGGAACTGGAATAGAACCCATGACCAATTTTCCATAGTACCAGCCTTGCTGTGTCACGTAGACAGTTTACCATATTTGGCAACCCACAATGGTGCCCTCTATTTGCTGGGAAATATGAACATAAACCCAGTGTTGAGCCCATCAAAATAAATATTTGATTTTTTTAAAACTAAAATGTATAAAATTTTAAAGGAAATACATTACCTTCACTCTGCACACCTCTAAACTCCTCATTGAGGTATTTTTTTTTAAAATATAGCTTTTGACTATATAGTTCCTTACACAACCTTTGATATCGACATTAAATATTAGAAAATATCTAAGTTAGTAGCTAGACAGCTAACAAACCACTAAAAGACAGATCTTCACCACAGGATTGCTTTTCTTATCTTAAGATCTATCATCTATCTATCTATCCATCTATCCATCTATCCATCTATCTATAAATATATATATATATATATATATATATATATATATATATACACAGTGAGGCAAAAAAGTATTTAGTCAGCCACCGATTGTGCAAGTTCTCCCACTAAAAATGATGACAGAGGTCAGTAATTTTCATCATAGGTACACTTCAACTGTGAGAGACAGAATGTGAAAAAAAAAATCCAAGAATTCACATGGCAGGATTTTAAAAGAATTTATTTGTAAACACAGTCAGTGTAACCAAGCACTTTGTTCCCAAATGTGTACAAAAATGTTCATGGGGATCGTTTAAAAATAAAGACAGATTTTCTGCTGCCAGGCATTCAGCCAAGGGCAGACAGCTCCCCACAAAAAAGTAATTAACAAGCCCCATCAGGTCCCTCTGCGCCCAGAAGAGGGCCCTCTTGCTCTTCCCACGGGACGAGTCGAGGCTGCTCGGGTGACGGAGATGACGTCACCCAACAGCGGCTTGCTTTCGGCTCGGGCCGAGAGGTGGCATTCATGTGCAGCTTCCTCTTGGGTTCTGATGACAATTTGTCGGGGTTACAGGCTTCAGTTTGCCTCAAAACCGCCCCATTTCAACGGGATAATAACGTCAGTAGCAAAAGAGGATTCGGCGCATATCCTGGAAGATGAAATCGCTTCACTGTTGAAGAAAAAAGCGATCAGGATGTGCCGAGCGACGAGGCCCACCAGGGTTTTTATTCAAGCTACTTCCTCATTCCAAAGAAGGACAGAAAATCTCTCAGTCTCATACTCAACCTGTGTGTGTTAAACACTTACGCAAGTACACTTTCAGGATGTTGACTCACAAAACACTCTGCCGTTCCGTCCGTCCAGGAGTTAGGTTTGTCATGATCGATCTCGTGGATGCCCATTTTCACATCTCTATTCATCCTCCACACAGGAAATTTCTGAGGTTGCCTATCAGGGCACAGCCAATGAGTTTCAAACCATCCCGTTCGGGCTGTCATTAGCACTGAGGGTGTTCACCAAGTGTGTTGAGGTGGCTCTGTCCTTATTGAGAACTCACAGGATCAGAATTTTCTCTTACATAGACGATTATTTGATTTGCACTAGGGTTGTCACAGTAACCGGTATAGCGGTAAACCCCGGTAAAAAAGTTGACAATAAAAATAACCGTCCAGTTTTTAAAAAACTATATTATCTCGGTGGGTTTACCGTGGCCGCGGTTTCGGCGCGATGACCCTTACCAGCCACCGTCGCTTCAGCTGAAGTTCCCGCGGTGTGCACACGCACTTTTTAATTTGCAACGGCACCAAAACTTTGAAGCTGAAATAATGGCCGAAGGAGGAGACGGCAGCGCCCAGGACATCCATCAGCCCTCAAAGAAGACTAAATCGGAAGTATGGGCATATTTTGGATTTCTGAAAAATGCTGAGGGACAGTTAATAGAAGACTGCTATCCCGTTTGCAGAACGTGCAGGAAACAAGTGTCTGCAAAAGGCAGCAACACTTCGAATCGAATGGCACATCTGCGTGACCATCACCCACGTCTCTAGAGCCAGTGCAAGGTAAGTTAACATTAGCATTTTAGCTTAAATGCATGACGTGAGGACTTTTGGTTGAGGGAGAATGCAACGAGTCACTATATACTGCAGCCGCAGCGTCCTCTGCCAGCATTTAAACCGTGTCACGGACACCCTGTTGCTGGATGAAGCATCTTATTTGTTGATGATGAAGAGAAATATACAATTAGTTCCTTGTCATTGATTTGTTTACTTATTCAATGCCATTTATACTTGAACATTTGGATTTGATTACATAGTGTAGTAGTTATTTTAGTAATTTGTTTAAAGTGGCTATTTGTTTTAAATACATATTTTTTAAGGTTGACTTGTACAGTGCTCAAGTCAAGTGTGGACTGGAGTTTTAGATTTTCATTTTGATAATGAAGAAAACAAGTATATGAGAAAACAAGTGGTGTTTCTTTGATTTGTTTACATATTGTTTATGTTTTGAATGTTTGGATTTGTATAATTTAAACCTGCACTGACTACTGTAACATGTTCCAGAAAAATAAGCTATTTGTTCCTTTACTTGTGAAAAGTTGCACTTTTGCTAAGGCTTTGTGTTATTTTAGGTTTAATAAACACTGTTAAACCTTTTCAGAACTATTTCAGTTTGTGTAGAACAGGACTATCAATGCTTTCTGAACATATGCAACACCGTTTAAAAAATACCGCGATAATACCGAAAACCGTGATAATTTTGGTCACAATAACCGTGAGGTTAAATTTTCATACCGTGACAACCCTAATTTGCACTCTCTCCCGGGAGCAAGCAACCAGTGCCATGCTGGTGGTGTTGAACCATCTGACCAACCTGGGGTTCAAAATAAACTGGACAAAGAGCAGTTTATTCCCCAGACAGTGCACAGATTATCTGGGTCTTCAGATAAACTCTCTCTCTCCTATCGCGTCTCGCTGTCAGAAGAGAGGATCGTGTCCTTCACACAGTGCGTTGCACATTTTCAGTTAGGAAACCATCTCGGCCTCATGGCATCAATGATTTCTGTGGTGCGACTGGGGCTTCGTACGATGAGAGATGTTCAGCGGTGGGTGAGGTTGTTAAGACTGTGCTCCCGCAGTCATCTCCACCGCAGAGTGAAAATAACTCTGGAGCGCATGTCGGCTCTCCAGCCTTGGAGAGACCGAACAGTTCTCACAACTGGGGTTCCGCTAGGGGCGGTGGTGTCCAGTGTTACCATGACAACGCGTCCCTTACAGGTTGAGGGGCCACTTTGATGGGGAGAGCAGTGAATGGCGTTTGGTCACGCAGTTTGAAACGGGTTCCCATAAAAGTGCTGGAACTCCTAGCAGTGTTTCTAGCTTTAAAGCACGTCCTGCCCTACTTAAGGGACCGTCATGTCTTAGTGAAAACAGACAACACCACAGTGGTTGCTTATATCAACCGTCAGGCCGGGACACACTCCCTACAGCTGCACCCACTAGCCAAGGAAATAATTAAGTGGTGCAGCTCCAGACTTCACTCAGTCCGCGCAACACATGTGGCGGGCAGCTTGAACAGAGGGGCAGACCTTCTGTCCAGAGGATGTTTTCTGTACAGAGAATGGAAACTCCACCAAATATGGCAGAGATTCTGTCAGGCTACCATAGATCTCTTCACCTCATGGGAAATCGCCCACTGCCCATCCTTCTTCTCCCTGACAGACACGGACGCACCTCTGGGGGAGTCGATGCATTGGCTCACCAGTGGCCGAGAGTGCTGCTGTATGCGTTTCCTCCTCTCAGTCTGATTTCCTCCATTCTAATAAGAGTAACCCCTTCTGTCCACTGGAGCCGTCAGCAGTACGTTACTGCAGCAGCACGTCATAGCTGCTGATAGGAACCGCTGTGGTCAACAGAACCTTTTCCACAGCAGCCGTCAGCAGCGCGAGTCGGCCGCGTCTCAGGAGCAGCATGTCGCGGCCCTTACGCGCCGGTTCTATTTTCTACGCGTGACGCCTCTGAAACGGGTCAAGTTCGACATTTTTGGAGAAGGAAAGACAGGAAATCATACGCGGAAACGGAGCGAAGCTCCCGAGATTTTCAGAATAAAGAAACGTACTCCCTTCCGGTTGCTTTACTTTTAAAAAAAGTTACTAACTGTGCGGCCCCGTGAGAAGTTATCACCTAGCTAGCGGTCTCCTATGTTTTTCAGGTCCGTATTGGCGATTATAAAACTGACAGAACATAAAACACAAACATTTTGGAGCCATGTTGTAGTTTTCTCCTGCTTGTTGTTTACTGACGAAGTCACTCGTGTGACTTCGTGCTCTGTCGGTGACAGCTGCTCCCCTGCTGCTTCGCGTCTCGTGGGAAGGACCAAGCAGCAGTTTACGCGAGCAAGACGTGCTGCTGCAGGCTCTGGTGGAAAGAAGGGGTTAGGGAACAGGGCCTGTCTTTGATCTTGGTGGCTCCGTTGTGGCCATCCAAACAGTGGGTGGCAGAAATAATCCAAATGCTTTGGGTCAAACCCTGGTCCCTGCTTGTCCGCAGGGATCTCCTGTCCCAGGCCAGGGGAGAGATTTATCACCCTCACCTAGACCGCTCGTCTTTGTGGGCCTGGCACGTGAGGGGTGGAATCTGAGCCTGGCAGTCCTGCCCCCAAGCGTCATTGATACCATTCAAAACGCTAGGGCCCCCTCAACTCACGCTCTTTACAACGGTAAATGGAGAGTTTTTGAGGTGTGGTGTGAAGAAAAACATATTATCCCATTTCAGTGTTGGGTGGTGGATGTACTCTGTTTCTTGCAGAGTCTGATGGACAAGGGTAAAGCTTTCTCCACTATTAAAGTTTATCTGGCTGCAATTTCTGCATGCAATGTGGGGTTTGGTGACAAACCAGTGGGGCAACACCTGTTAGTGAGTCACTTCATGAAGGGTGCACGCCGTGAGCTACCAGTCTTTAGGCCACTGGTACCACTGTGGAATCTCTCTTGTTTTGGAGGCCCTCTGTCATCATCCTTTTGAACCTGTAGATGGGGCTGGATTGAAAATCTATAATCAACAGTCAATAACACTAGTGAATAGTTAGGGTGTTGTTGTTAAAATGTTTCTCTAATATTTATCATATAGACTTGAGTGCCGAGTTCTCCTCTGCTCTTTCTGCTACAGACTGAACTGAAGATGGATGCTCTACAGCAGGAGTGGGGAACCCTGGTCCTCGAGGGCTGGTGTCCTGCATGTCTTTGCTCCTACACTTCTGATTCAGTGGTTGATTCACCTGTTCTGCAGCTCATCAAGCTCTGCAGAAGCTTGTTAATCACCTGCTGATTGAAATCAGTTGTGATGATGCAGGGTTGAAACTAAAATATGCTGGATAGCGGACCTCGATGGACCAGGGTTCCCCACTCCTGCTCTACACAAATATTAACAACTGTTGAGTTTCTGTCTGATGGCTCAACAAAAGTCAGATCCAGCATGGCAGCAAGTTATGGAGCCAAACCAAAGTGTGAAATTAGCAGGAAGCTGGTGAGCTGCGAGCTGAAAAAGGTAAAAACAACACAACCTGAAGGTTCCTCATCTCCAGGCTAACACAGAAGCTGCTGATGAGTCAAGAACACTAAAGAGTTAGTGAATACAGAAGATGTTATGAAATAGTGTGTTAAAAAAAAGACTAGATGAACTTAAGATGTTGTTGGTGTGTTTTAGCAGGTTGCTATTGTGTATTTTATATATTATTTTATTATTATTATTATTTTATACATCACTGTTTGACATTTTTCAGTAGAATGCATCTTTCTATTCTAAAAGGTGCATTTATTTTTACTTACATGTAAATATGTACATCCCTATAAAACATCTGCTTTATAAATGCTTTGAAATATTATCAAGTAATATTTCTTTTTTTCCGCTTTTTATATTTTTTATCAATCGTGTTATAACATTTGATTTTAACACTGAGCAGAGCACACAATTAAGATTCCACAGTTAGTTAAATTCAGTGTTTGAAAAAAAATTAGTTTCAGAATCTTTAGCATCCACAGTTGTTAGTGGTAATTAAGCAATCTGATAAGGTGCCAAACACTGAGATATCAGCCATGAAATCGGCCCCAAAAATCGGCAGCACTTAGCCATCGGCTGACCACGACCGCCTCATATCGGTATCGGCAATAGAAAAGCCAATATCGATCGACCTCTAAAATAGATCTGTAATTTATTACACTGGTTGAATCAGGGAAAATGCTGTGCCTTTATGTGCATTTAACATAACACCGCTTGGTCAAAGATGGGTTGAAATATAATGTGTTAGTGGCGCTGGCTGGGTAACAAAACAAAACTCTGAGGCCAGCTAGCGGAGGCTTCTGGGCTTTGCTGGTCCATTGTGGTCAAAGATCTGCAAGGTCACAACTGCAGGAGGAAGGTTTCGGTAATATGCCTCTCCCTCTGTCGTTCCATCCTTGCGAAGGCAGCCCTTCCAGGCGGGTCACCGGCTGGGAATGGCTACTAGATCCAAGCAGTCACCCTGCTCCTGTGGCAGCCGGGCCACCAGGTTTCCATGCGAGGCTTTGGTTGTGCGGGTCGCCTGTGATGCTCTGAGGGAGACTACAGACACATTGTACTCTTTAACTCAATGTTACTTCCCTTCGGAGTTGCTTTCTCTCACTAAAAACACCCAAAAACCTCTGTTAGCTTTAGATTAGCATGTAGCTAATTTTTCGCTGATCAACGACCATAGCAGAGGAGTGGAGGAGGAGCTTACAATTCCACTCTCAGCTCCACCTTTTTTCTCATTTTTGGATTGTCTGGGCGTGACTAGAAATGAGTCATAGCAAAGATGGCGTTGATGGGAACCACCCAGATTAGGCTTTTTGAACCCTTTTTAGAAGACACACCATGCTGGCAAATCAGCGTATTACTGCCGCCACAGTGTGGCGTCACGGCGTTGCAGGAATGTTGCAGCATTTGTGCCGCCAAGCTGGCAGTAATATTACCGCAACACCAGACTTGTGAATGCATATTATGCCGTGGTGCAACAGAGGGAAGGGTCATGATCACGTGTGGAGTTACTGCCAAGCTCCAGCCGGCTATATTATTAAAAATGAAAGTAAACACTGGCCTAAGTTTTGTTTTTGTTAACAGAACCAACTGAAATGATAAACCAGAGCGCTGCAGCTCTCCAGGAGCTTCTCTTCATTAGAGCTGGAGTTCAGATTACCTGAGACTGCACAGGGACTGTGAGCAACAGACACCCTTAGGAGTGCCTTGATAAAAAATGTAATGTGTGCAGCTTCGATAGCAATAAAAAGCAAGTAATTTTTAAGTTAAACAAAGGCCGCAGCAGTGCAGAAACCGCCCCCCCCCCCCCCCCCCAAATACTGCCATCGTGTAAACTTTTGTAAAAAGGACACGATTGCTCAAAATTACCGCCACAATGTGACCACTTATGAACGACCCAAAGCTCCCAGATGCCACCTCGACATTGCGGCAAATTGGCAACATTGTTTTCTAAAAGTGGCTTTACAGAAATGAGAGTTGCTATGTTCAGAATTAATGGTGAGGACAGTCAAATGCGTGTGTCTCATGCTCACTGCATGAGAGTTGGCAGTCCAGATAAAAAAATAATTTCGGATCTGTATCTTGAATTTATTTGCTTGTAAACCAATGGTGTTCGTTAATGAGTTAGATCCACCGAGAAAATTTTAGTGACTTTAACAATCTGATATGTAATACAGCACTCACAGCTTAACAGAACATTAGATAGCTTTCATAGGGAAACATGTATTCTTTAACAATGTAGAATAGAATACACTTTATTAATCCCACAGTGGGAAAATTCACTCATCAAACAAATTCAAAGAAAAGGAAGAAAAAAATAATAACAAAGGTATAGTAGATATTATTTTAACCATCAAACCCCTAAAAACAATGAATAAAAAGTGGAAATGTAGGTTTCAGAACTATGCAGCATAAAGGACACAGACATACTAATGTACATCCAGTATTGCACAAATACTGAACGCATACTAAATATTGCATTGATGTTAAAGTGTAGAAGGATAATGTCTTAATAGTTAATGCAGTGGGAATTAATGACCTAAAGGCATCGTTCTGTTTTACATCTTGGAGACAGATTAAGAAAACAGAATTGATGAAGGCTTTAGGCAACTGAAACGTTCATCAGGAAAAACACATGCAAGTCAAGCACTTTACCTTTGCAGATGGTCTGGAGTTAAGTTTGCTGTGTTGTACAGAGAGATGTACCGTGTCGGCAGTCCACATCCTTGGCGGATATGATGCGCCATTAGGTAAAAGTCCACCCTTTATGCAAGGAAAAGGAAACACCTGAGTTTGAGCAGCTCGTAGCATCTTTACATTATCTTATCTATTGAAAATCCATATGATCCACATCATTCAATTACAGAAACTCCACAAGGCAAAACGAATAGATTTGATGCTCCGTTTAAACGACGTGACTGTATGATATTCATTAATACCTGTTTCACAGGAAGTTATAACAGAACTTGGTTGCCTCAACATAAAATCTGAACAAACAGAATTTTGTTTCTGTTTCTTTGCAGACAGTCTTTATAATGAGAGAAGTTGATGCAGCATCTTGGATCCTCTCATAGCACAGAGACAGAGAACAAGCCAAAGCTACTCTAATTCTCTAACTTTAAGGCCTACATCATTTTTGGGGCTTGCAAGTTGGGCTGTCACGGTAACCGCAAAAATTAAATATCGCAATATGAAGAAACCCACCGCGCTACATCATGGGCCACCGCGATTACTGAACTTGATTCAACTCAATGATGCATGTTGAGAAGGATGGCTGCACTGGTATCAAAACGAAACGTTACTTCGCTCCTTTGGGAGCACTTTGGTTTTCAGTATGTCAGCTGCTGCGCAGCCAGAGTCCTTGGCCGAGACAGAGCTGCAGGCAAAATAAATAAATAAATAAATGCTCGGAGACCTGCTGAAGTCCCGGACAAGCACTGCTTCTGCAACCGTCCCGAAGAATGGAAGAGTTTGAGCCGAGCTGGAGCTCACTCGCTACCTGCAGGAGGAATGCATCCACCCTAAAGAAACCCCCCTGACATGGTGGAGCAACAACCGGGAGAGATTCCCTTTGCTCACCAGTCGCACGCAAGTACGTGTGTGTAAAGCCTGATTTAAGCTTGGTTTATGCACGACGCATTCACTTTCTGCGCGGTGATGCGGCTCGCGGATGGAACGCGCTTCACAACTCGCAGCTTTTAGTGCAACAAGCTCACCATCCGAGAGGGTTTTCAGTGTTGCTGCAAATGTTGCCACCCCTCTCAGATCCTCTCTCAAACCGTATATGGCTAACATGCTGGTTTTCCTTGTGGGTAACAAGGACGTGACCGAGCTATAAATCACCGTCATTCGTGTGTGTGTGAAAGTGAAAGTGAAATGATAGTGCCCCGCGCCCGGCACATGTAATTTTTTATGCTTGATTTTAAACAACTAAACAAAATGGGGACTTGTTTCTTATTTGTTAGATGCTGCAGCCAAATTTGCATTTAAAAGTTTAACCTTCTCCTGAATTTTGTTGTTTTTAAGTTCAGTCGGACTCCGACTGTCGGAGAAACAAACGTTACTGCGATCTGTGTTGTTACTGCCCTTTGATCTGCATTCAGTAAAGTGTTATGAAAGAAGGCACGGCAATTTTTAACCTTTTTTTAAATGCGTAAACATTATGTTTAGATAGTACTGCAATAAAAAAAAAGTGCTGCAATAATATCGCCCACCGCAATATTAAGCCACCCTGAATCACCGCAGGGGGAATTCCTCAACCGCGACAGCCCTACTTGCAAGAGTAAAAACATATTTATTTGTGGATTCTGTATCAAGATGAAAAGAAACTTATTTTCTCCTAAGGTCCTTTCTTAATGAGAAATAGCAACTTTTATTTGAAAATGGTTCTGGATTTCCTTGAGTGATTACAAGATGCTCACATTTTCTGCTCTAAATGTACCAAACATAAACATGCAATTCTTAAGAAAATAGCTGTGGTAAAGCCCTTAAACTGACCAGTTTCTCTGGGTGAGGGTGTGATCCAGCACAGTTCCAGGTGGCGGAATGCCAAAGCTGTTTGCCGTCCAGGAGTAGAGAGTGGTGCTGATGCGCTTCTGGACCACAATGAACGCCAACTTGGGCTCATAGTTGGGGAAAGTACTGAAACACTGCAACAGCTGAGGTATCTCGTACTGCTCTACCATGTTCAGCTGACCGTCAGATACACCATCTCTGTACACCACGATCTTGTCTGGTAGGCTGTGGTTTACCTGAACAAGAACAAGTTCAAGTTTGATGTCAGACTAGATCAGTGTGTCTCAATGTATGCAAGTTCTGTTCAAATAGTAAAATTCTATTTAACTCATTCATTGCCAATGATGACTAAAGTCATCATTAGTTTTTTTGTTTTTTTTACTGTGTGGGCGTCGGAACGAGCTCCTGCACCGTGAGAACAAACAACCCAGCTCTAAAGCCAATCTTCATTCGCATACGTCACATTATCAGGAAGCAGAAAACCCATGTGTTAGGAGATTTTTTTGGGTTGCTGCTGTAAAAACAGTGAGGTACGAACCGGAAAAGCTACTGCCAATCACAATTCAACAACAGATTATGAAAGAATCGATAACGCTCAAAACGCAAGGATTCTTCCTGATGTAAGAGGTGAGACTCCTCTTTGTTTTGGCGTCGACATCATCCCATCGCACAACGTTGTGTGACTCTTATTAACAAAACAAAACAAACAAACAAAAAACAAACAAACAGTAAAAGCACTGAAAAACACTGGCAGAAAAGGGCTTTACTGATCAGGAAATGGCTGGCAGTGAATGAGTTCAAATCTGCCCCAAAAAGCATTTATCCTTATATCAATTAACACAAATAGTTAATTGTTTAATGGAACTACACAATTCAAAATTCACTTTTTTGAGCTTTTGACCATGTAAAGATTGTTATTACCTCATGAAAAACACCCACAAAGTAGTTTTTGGCTTCACGCATGCATTTTTCTGTCTCAGCTGAAAATCGTCTGATAATCATCCCAGTAACTGCAATGGGGCAAGGTTGCGTCATTAAGCCCCCTTTCCCCCTATTCAGATAGCATCTCTAGTCCGGATCCCTCTTCCACTGGACTATAAACACCACCACCCCCTCTCCATGTAGCCAGTTGGGAGTTTAATCTCTACAGTTGTAAAGAGCTGATTTCTTTCTTATCTAGTCTGCACTTTAAATAATCCCTAGAACCCAAAAATGCTATTGTTGTCTGCAGGAGGAACAGGATCCCTGAACAAGAGTTCAATGTACAGAAATGGACCTGCCGCACAGGGGCGCCACAGACAACTGTCCCACCAGCCTTTGCCTTCAGGAGGATGAATACAGGTGTGAGCTGAACTAGAGTTGGGTGAGCCTTTCAATGGTTGTTTTTACAAGAGCAATTTTATTTTTCCATAAGAAAGTTTGTTAACTCATTCACTGCCATTGATGACTTAAGTCGTCATTTGCATTTTTTTTTACTGTTTGGGCATCGGAATGAGCCCCCGCGCTGACAGAACAAACATCTCAGCTCTGAAGCGGATCTTCATCCGCATGTCACACGTCAAATGATCAGGAAGTAGAACATCCATGTGTTCGATCGTTTTGGGCTGTTCCTGTAAAAACAGTGAGGCGCGAACCGGAAAAGCGTCTGCTGATCACAATTCAGCAACGGATTATGAAAGAACACATAATGCTCAAAACAAGCGGATTTTTCCTGATGTAAGAGGTGAGTCTCCTCTTTGTTTTGGTTATTTTGGCATCGACATCATCCTAACGTGCAACGTTCTGTGACTCTTAAAAAAAACTGTAAAAACAGTGAGAAACGCTGGCTGAGAAGGGCTTTACCAATCAGGAAACGACTGACAGTGAATGAGTTAATAACTCATGCAGGAGCATAGATTTCCATCACAGCATCCAAGTATTATCTCTATTTTTCTCTGTATTTTGCGTGCTAAAGAGGGGCTTGGAGTGCATCTATGACAGACCTGTGCATAAACGGCGCACTTTTGCGTGCTTCACATCTGGAAATTGGAAATCCCTTTTTTCCCCAAGAGAGTTTTGCCAGTAATTTTATTTCATTTGGAGAAATGTTCCCCGACTTAAAAACTGGTTGAAGTAGCACTTTTTATTAAGCCTCTACTACAACATTAAGACAGCCATGAGTCTGTACAACGAAACGTCTAGAGCCTTATGACTATGGCCTCTTCAACAAAATCCCTACAGACATTTTTCTTCTGGCTCTTGGAGAGTAGAGATGCTTTTTTTCCCTCTCCCTCCCTCCTCTTCCCAAGGCTCTTTGTCCTGTCGTTGTGTGCACAGCGCTTTTTGCATTTTTTTCTGGAAACTGGAAATTATTAAAAATGGATCTGGTCAGTTGGTCTCTTAAGGCGATTGACAAAAAATTTTTAACGATGAGAATGGGAGAAGGTGATCCCGGACGCCCCTCTGGGACAGAGCCAGCTGGGTATATCATGGACTCCTGGAAACAGTGGAACCTGATATGCCTCTCTTAACTGTTTGTAGAGGATTCTGAAGATGTTTGGATATTCGTCGTTTTGGTGTCAGGATTCCTGCTGTTTCGCCTGAGCGGTTACCTGACTTACCGGAAAATTAACGAGCTTTTGAGGAATACTGGCTCAATCCCGGAGCTCAGGGATGGAATGCATCATGCTGTGACTGCACAAACTCATATAAATGTCGAGATGAGTCGTAAGCTTGGAAACTTTGGCTGAGATTCAGGCTCTGGCACAGAAGGTGGATTCCATCAAGGAGCGAGTTGACGGATCAGCACGGATTGGGTTAGATTAATTACGCCATTATTGGACCTGGAGGGGTTGAAGACCAACAGAACTCTAAGGCAGAGAGGAAATTATCTCTGTCTGTACCCAAAACAATTCTTATCTGAATCTGGTGCCCTTGGAGCCTGTGAGGCTGAAGTGATAACTCCCCCCTCAGAAGAAATATGGAATGCTGCCGTCGCTATGGTAACTCTTTCTCCCTATCCGAGCCTGGGCGGGACTGTGACCGGTGAAGGCGGTGGAACTGTATCTAGGAGTCAATGTGCCCTCTAACCCATTATCTCCATCCCCTGTCCAAACGGAGGTGATGAGCGCTGCTCTTGCAGCTGCAAGCCCTTAAGTGAGGAGAGTCCCAACCCTACCTCCCCACCTAGTGGACACTTATGCTGTGTAATGTCTGAAGTCTGTGTGCATATCTGTCTGAGGTGCTTTTTGCATAGCAAAGCTACCCTCTCTGTGGAGGGTAAATCTGAAGTGCCTTTTTTCCCTCCCCTCCGACTCTATCCTCATATAAATCCTGTTGATCTATTACAGTAGCGCGACTCGGGTTGCGAATGACCACAGTCACCAATTCTTGTCATGTGTCTCTGTATGTATGTCTGATCTCAGAATTGTGTGTACTGAAACTAATTTCCCTCTGGGATTAATAAAGTATTTTTGAATTGAATTGAATTTATTACGGATGGACAAGCAGGTGAACAGTTCAAGTTTACGTGAAGCAGAAAAAAATGTGACTTTGGGTCACAGCAGGTGAAATGCATAGTTTAAGTTAAATTGTTTCTGTATTGTTTAAATATTACTGGGGCACTTTGTTCAGGCTGTCTGGACTTAAATATTAGTTTAAAAAAAGAATGGAAATGTAATGGTATTGTTGAATGTTTATAAATTTTTTACAAAGGAAAGCAACAAAGAAAAATGAATGATGCACCCTCCTTAGAGTGTGTTCAAATGCTGAAGTTAATAATCAAATTTCCTACTTGTGTGACTTGTTTCGCCTCACTTCGCTGTCCCTGAGAGCAGGGGGAAATTACAGCGTTTTCAGTGTGAGAAATTACGAGTTGTAGCGTGACAGCGCGTGAACAGGGTCAGATTAGTGTGTCTCACGCTCAATATGTGAGTGTAGCAGCCCTGCAGCAGCCTATGTTCAGAAGACAAAAACATTTAATTTAAGCACATTACCACAATGGTGAGGACCACCTTGTTTAATATGGGCGGTTTATATGTCTTTAAGGCTTGTGACCACTAATCTCGGAGATTGTAGAACAGTCTTATTTGCATTCTACCACCCATCTATGCAATTATTTCTGAACACGTCTACGGCACACATCATTTCTCTCTCAGCCAAGTAACGCCATTTGCTAGTTTGATTCTGTCTACATGACAAACACACCGATCAACCAATCAGAACAAGTTTAAGGCAGCGTTTGTTTAGCTGGGGTGCTTGGTAGAGGTGACGAAAATAATTAATAATTGTTGCATTAAGATGTGGACGTAAACAGTTATGAATCTTTGAAGAAGCATACCATGGATAGATAGGCAGACAGACAGAAGGATTGGGCGATTTGTATATTTTTTCCAACCACCAATTGTGGGTCCAATAAATGATGATGGGCAATTTATTTGTGCATGTGACTTTTCGAGCAACATTATGATGTACGGACTGATTTACAAATACAGTTGAAGTACAAACGCAGATATTTTTTTATAGAAGCACAGTGCATATGTTTGCTGGAAGTGAAAGTTAAGATTTTTCTATTTGTTTATTTTTGTATTAGTAGTTTGGTAGTGACAAACGGCTCATATTTAACAGTTTAATTGTTAAAATGAAGCCTCGTCTTTGTTTCCATGCAGTTCCCACTATTGTGGTATTTTATTTAAGTGAGTTTCTTTTTTTCTGAACAAAAGCTATTGGGTTTCTTTCTTTTATGACTAAGAAATTAAATGAATCGCTGCAGCATTTCGACATGCTTTGAGTTAGAGCCCTGCACGGGCCTAAAATCTGAGCCCGTGTCCGGCCCGGCCCGAGGGGGTGGAGCCCAAGCCCGACCCTGTCCGAAAAGGTTTTCAGGATTCTCTGGCCCGACCCGAGCTTTTTTAACACTAAATGAAAACAAAGTGCGTCAATCCTGACCAATGTGTTAAAAGACATGCAGGATCCGATCAATTTGTTTTTCCCCATTAACCGTCACGGAGATAACGGCGCAGTGGCTCTGGTGGTAATCAAGTTAAATTTTATCTCTTTCCAACAATTTTCACAAGAAAACAAAATAGTTAAAAGCAGGGCTTATGTTGTGTTGACCGGATAGTTCCCGTGTTTGACCATTTATTTTGACGGAGAAAGAATAGAAAGAATTACAGACGCATGCAGACGAACTGACATTTTATTCGTTATGCACAATGCAGATGTAGCTAAAAGATTTCCATCTGAACATCTGAGCTGG